CTTTTACTCCTACTTGAGTAATATTTTTTATTGAAGTAACTGAGTAAACGTCAAGCTAACTTACTTGAGTAGTACTTTTCCCAAATCATTTTTACCCTTATTTGAGTAACTTCTTGGACCACTGCTTTGTATTTCTACTTGAGTATTCTGAAGTAACAATACTCTTACCTTTGTATAATCTACTCTAGCACCTCCGCTTACTCCACCTCTCACTTCAATTCCCCCCGTCTCAAATGTTCACTTTTTTCCAAATCTGGCAACGATTTGTGCTCCATAAACGCCGTCTGGTCACTAAGTTCATTCATTTAACAGTCTTAACAACGGAAAACCTCCAGCTGGGCGCTCATTGTCCAAGTAGCTGCCATTATTTACGCTGTCTTTTCCTGCTGCACTCCGAAGGGGGAAATTCCGAACATTCCCGTCGTCTTTTATAATAACATGTACTGGATTCCAATTAGAGCACGTTGAGATGTTTTTAATACGAGAGGGAGCGCGTTGTAATTACAAGACAGCAGCTGCGGGTTTGATTCCAGTGTTTTTTTATAATAGGCTTGCTCGGTGGTTGGCTTTCCATGGCCTCAGGGAGAGAAGGGATTGGGAGCTGCGGTGAGGAGCGAGCATGAAGTAGACTCTTTATCGTGTACTTTACAGAGGTTAGATACGTGGTGATTTAGGGTTTTGGTCGAGTTTGAAGTCAGGGTTAGCGTGTTCAAGGAAACCACTGTGCAATTTTAGACAGCGCATTGCTACTTATACTTTTTGGTTTAGAAGGAAGAAAGCGAGCTGCTGGAGTTGTCACGATACTGACTTTTCAAACTTGATACTAAGAAATAGACTTTATACTCTGTACTGAATCTGAAGCCACGATCATGATAAAAGACACTCTTTTTTTAGACAATAGAATGTGATTCTCAATATTAAATCATAGTACTTTCTTTTTTATTACCACGTGTCTTATATTTGTGTAATCCCTCAAGTCATCCAGGTACGTTCCATACACAGATAGAGAACAGTAGATCTCACATTGACCTGTTTTAGTCCTGGTCTAGTCCTTGTTCAGTTCTGGTTTAGTTCTGGTTTAGACCTGGTTTAGTTCTGGTTTAGACCTACTTTAGACCTGGTTTAGTCCTGGTTTAGTCCTGGTTTAGACCTGGTTTAGTCCTAGTTTAGACCTGTTTTAGTCCTGGTTTAGACCTGGTTTAGTCCTGGTTTAGTCCTGGTTTAGTCCTGGTTAGTCCTGGTCTAGTCCTAGTTTAGAGCTGGTTTAGTCCTAGTTTAGACCTGTTTTAGTCCTGGTTTAGACCTGGTTTAGACCTGTTTTAGACCTGTTTTAGTCCTGGTTTAGTCCTTGTTCAGTTCTGGTTTAGTTCTGGTTTATTTCTAGTTTAGACCTGGTTTAGTCCTGGTTTAGTCCTAGTTTAGACCTGTTTTAGTCCTGTTTTAGACCTGGTTTAGATCTGGTTTAGACCTGTTTTAGTCCTGTTTTAGACCTGTTTTAGACCTGGTTCAGTCCTGGTTTATGTCCTGATTTAGTCCTGCTTTGATCCTGGTTCAGTCCGTATGCGGTGCAAAAGTCCAGTATCTTCACTCACTGATACTGTGAAAAAGCTTCCACCAGTGACACTTTAGACCAGGGGTTCTTAATCTTTTCAAACTTGAGGCCCGAGTTTTTTTGAACAAAGTAACGTGGAGCCCTGTCTCATATTAAATGCATTTTATTGTACTGAACTGTATTATATTGAGGTGGTCCTGGCCGTGTGTTTACTGCTTTAGACCATGAACCTCCTGCTTGTGTATTGATTTGCTTGGAATATTCCACAATATGACATTAACATTATTGATCTCCATGGAGTCAAGAAGGTGATGCCTACAGGCCAAGTTACAGGTCAGATCTTTGGAGAGGCGACCCCTCTCATAGGACTGCATGTATTTCACGGTCATTTGTTTTAACAATTAAACACTTGTAATGGAATACATGCAAGATAGTTTAATGTCATACTGTGGAACATTCCAGGCAAAAGTAACAGATTCAAGCTGAAAAAAAATGTTTGAAGTTTTATTACTTTTATCATGGTTATATAAAAATGAAAGTGCATTCATGAGTGCTCAAGTGTATCTCTGTAAAATTACTTGAAAATTACTAACTGCCTTGTTGCTAGTTACACAGAAATACATGGAAACAGTTGCTAAAACAACTACTTGGTCAAACTTGTGTGTAATGGTGTTTTTGACTGGAGTCATATGCAGGTTAGAACAGGTATAAACTAGGGATGGAACAATAACTGAAATATCCTGATATTATATCATCAAAAGTCTCACAATAATACCACCTTGGGCCTTCACAATATATTAAATCACAAGTCTCTTTGCTTAAATGAAGAGTTATGGTGCAGCAATGACTTAAAAACCCAGAGCGAACTACATAGACCATGATCCTTTGCTCCATTTCAGTGCAGACTACAAGAGAAAATAACTGTTCTAAGCTCTTTTAAATCTTAGTTCTCTAGATAAAGTCTTGCCACAGCTTTTTAAGAGGAAAAATTATAGGGTGACCTGATTTTTCAAATCAAAAACTGGGTCACCCCAGTTTGTGGTGGTTGATAATAATAAAATTGTGAAACAAGTGCGTAATTAAGGAAAATTGTTCTGCGCCCGGCCCATTCATGACTAACATGTGAGTCAATATAATCACATTTTCTTTGTGTTTTGATTAATTTTAATCATGCTTTTCTGTATTTTCCCTAAACAAATGACAATTTACTTCTCTTTACTGTTGTCACGGATCAAACTGTTTAAAAATAGGGACACCTGGGTCATTTTGTGTATTAAACTGTGACAAATCACTGGTTTTGGATAAATCTGCTGGGACAGTGGACGCGGAGCTCAAAACTGTGTCTGTCCTGGGTAAGAGAATAAATAGGGACATCTGGTCACCCTAAAAAAGTTGCATAAATATTGCAATAAATATCCCTAGTATATACTACAGAGACCTGAAAGACCAGATCAATCTTTCCACACTTCTGCCTCCGTGCATTTACGGTAAAAGTGGGGTCTGTTTCACAACGCATGTGTCGTTTTACAGTTCGGAGAAATAAAGACAGGTTTCAATTTGCAAGTGCGTGAGTTTGCATGCTACTATCTCAACTCCTCCTGTGCACCATTACCCAACAGCCCTGTACTTATCGCACTAAAAGAGCTATTCACCAGCGCCCAGACCCTCACACTTATGTCAGACCAAGCTCACTTTACCTCTACACAACACCTCGCTACCTCCACAATAACATCGATTATCATGGACCTGGCCCTGCCTAGCCTTTTTAATTAGCGTATGAAGCTAACAGGATATCCGTGAGTTGGTGCGCGAGTATTGGCCAATTCACAGCTCGCTTTATTTAGGAGGAGACAAGCGGCGCTGTGTGGGCCTGCTGGAGTTTGGAGAGGGGGAGCTTTCATTCAGAGGTGACCCTGGGAATGTGATAAAACACCAGCAGTCATAACACGCTATAAAACTGGTGATTAAAAAGGACAGAGTGAACGATAAAGGTCAATTTAAACTTGTCAAAGATTATGGTGTTTTCAAATGTATTTTTTAGATCAGAGGTGGGCAGGTCTTCTTTCCATGAGGACACATGAGAAACAGAAAATATTGTGGAGGGCCAGAACAAAATGCTTAACTCAATTCTGCATCATATTAATTGTTTATCTATATAAAAAGCAGTAAATAGCATTTATGTCATGATTAAGCAATGAAAAATTGAGGTTGCCTTACAAAAATGTCCTTTAAAAAAACACCTCTAAAATAAATGCAGCTTTAATTCATGCACGAGGTCACATTATAAAATCAGTTTATTTTGTGATTCTAAATGGTCTTAAAGGGGTGGGTCAGAGTCAACCCAAGGGCCGTATGTGGATCTTTCTAATGCCCAGGTCAGTTTTAGATAAAGATTCAAGTAAGTAATAAAGTAAAATTTGTCCTGTCTCAGTACTGTGTATTATAAAAGCAGCTTTTAGGGCCAAAATGAGGCCACTGTGTGCTGTCTGCATCTACTTACAGGTATAATTAAGGGTTTTTCAGGACAAGACATTTACAATCAAATTTTAACCACTTTTTATTTATTATTGAATTAATGAATTAATGATTGAATCACAAAAATCAATATCACTGACTTGTCACAATTTGCCTTACGCCTTACGCTAGATGAATCTATGTGTGACTCTGAATTGAGTTCTACACATCATCAATCTAGAGCGGCTCGTGCTAAAAGTGATCAGAACAAGTGGAATGCAATGACTAATATTGGAATCTGGTTAAAGCGTCACAACAGCAGAACAAGCTGAAAAATCTAACTTTTGTTAAATCCAGTTGAGAGAAAAGTGCAGACATCATCCCTGTCCACAAATGCACAAAGCACTTACCTTCTACACATTTTTTATGCACAAAATAGTCTCTGTTTTCACTAAAACAGGCTGAAGTGCGTCTGTCAGCATCGCCATGTTTGTTTTGGTTCATTTGGGCATTTTGCCTTTGACTTCTGGCCAAAAAACAATGTTATGATGTGACTGGTTCACCCTCCCGATTAATCGCACTGTGGACATACACCAAGTTTCACTTTCAAGTTTCAAATATTGTGAGAATCCATGTTACTGTGAGAAGTTATAAGTTACCACTCGTGATAGAATTCACTGAAAGTCATTTACATTTTACTTTTCTGAGGGATGCAATACATGTTCTCAGTCAGGATTAGAACCAGTGACCCTGCAGTTCCCAGGAGAATATTACGTAACTGCACCATTGTTTATAAGTTGTAAAGTAGCCTTGACTCTCTGGTCTGGTGTGATTGTCTGTCACCCCAGACGCTGCTTTGTCCCATTGTATTCTTCCTCCTCTTTATAACTCTATTTACGTGTGGCGAGCCAATTTAAGCGACAAACAGCTCATAAAATCAGTCTGGTCTGTGTTAGTGCTACCTCCCGCATGACCTCTAACCTCTGACTTCTCTTTTGGACAGATTGCGCAGAAGTACGACCCCCAGGCGGAAGAGGAGCTGAGGCACTGGATAGAGGGTGTGACCGGCTGCCCCATTGGTCCAGACTTCCAGAAAGGCCTGAAGAGTGGAGTGATCCTGTGCAAGTAAGACACAAGCCACTGTGTTTGTCTTTCCACCCCAAAACCTGTCAGACCACTTCTGTCCCAGTCAACGTGCAGCTGTGAACAGAGGGACGATAAAATAAACCCATAGACTGTATTTATAAATGGACACAGCTAAACCGCTAGCTGCCATGTTCCACATAGGAAGTGATCATGACTGTGCTTCCGGCTCAATTGAGCTGGCCCCAGTTGACTTTATATTGGAATATTGTGGCCCCTCTGTAACTCTGCAGTGTGCCTCTTCATTTTGGTCTTAAAATGTTTGTATTAACCTGCTCTACATGATCCTCGGGTTGTTCATTTGCTCTTTTGTTCACAAACAATTCTCGAATCGATTCAAAATGCATCCGAATCGATTTTTTAAATAATATTCTTTACAAAATTTCATTATTTACATTCACTGTTCTGATGATTTAAACATTTTTATAAATTATATTTCATACAAGTGTGTTCTCGTGAAGTAGCAGCTGACTGTATTAATAGAAGTAATTAGTGATAAATCGCAATATATCATCGTATGTTTTAGTATTGGGATATATCGGGATATATTGAATCATGACATGCGTATCATGATATGTATTGTATCGTCAGACTCAAGGCAATGCACACCCCTATTTGGAAGGTGGTGGATAGAACGTTAGCTCTGTCCATTTATATATATATAGGGGCGTTACCTTCAGCAGCCTCGCTTAGGATTGGCTCGTCGGTTGCTATGATACTTGTGGTTGGAATTCCAAAATATGAAACTCTGCTCCAAATTTGCCTTTGTAACTGTATAACCTCAGTGAGCTTCATTTGACTGGAGGGGAATGCTGTGGATGACGTCACACTCACTTAGTCCACTTCTTTACATATAAACCTTTATTTGTCCCACAGTGAGGAAATTTCAGTGTTGTGATGCGACGTTCGAGAACAGTAGGAGAATAAAAACCTGCAATCAAAGTCAATATCAAGTTAATTATACCATAAAGATTTACAGTAGATATAAAATCCAACACAACACTGAGTCAGCAGAGTACAGCTCTCAGTCTACAGAACCTTTGTACAATAAGAGGCTCTGAGATGCTTATGTAACAGCTTAAGCCCCAAAACTGAAAAGGAGCGAACAGCCTCCTGCCACCAGCCTTCGAGGTATTTTTGAGCTTTAAAATCTCCTGTAACTGAATAAATGCAAGGTAGAGCTGTTTAATGTCATACTGTGGGACATTCCAGAAAAACAAGCAGGTGACAGACTCCCATCCAAAAAGTTACATAGTGCACCTTTACTTCCAATAGTCGATTTGCTAAAAAGCGCAGATATTAGTCTATCTTCTGTATTGATTATAGTTCAGATTCAGATTATGTTCAGACCTCTTTCACACCTTGTCAGTTTCGGCTGCACTTTGCTCTTACCTCATTACGTGATATTTCTGAGGAACAAACAGTGCAGCCGAAACTCTCAAGGCATGAAAAAACAAACGAGATCTGAACACAAGAATCTAACGTATAGTTTTCACTTTCACTTTATCATAACGGACCACGAGAACAAAACAACACGTGCTAATCTGTGGGTAGAGAAACGGCTTCAGTTTTATCATTACTGCTGATCTAAAGCCTTTCAAACACTAATATACTAATATAATATTTGCCTGGCTGTTTCTTACCCAGTGCATTTGAACGCCTCTCTGATCTGCTCCTGTATGAAATTAGGCTGCACTTTTTTTTTTTTTTTTAGGATGAAGGTGTTTTTTTATTATTATATTATATTATATTATATATTTATGTATTTATTTATTTTCTTTTTTTATTGTGATATTAGAGAGAAAAAAATAGTATAACACAGGAGACATTTTGACATTTTGAAAGACAGTTCTTCTTTTAGGAGAAAAGTGTGTTTGTGTGTGTGTGTGTGTGCATGTGTGTGTGTGTGTGTGTGTTTGTGTTTGAGTAGGTAAGTAATAAAACACATGGACTGGGAGATCTGAACCACAATTGTATTTCCTGGGTTTTATTTGCGTTTTGGAATTTTTGATTAAACTGGACAAAGTCAGTTTTGCAGTTTTCCTCGTGTGTAAACATAGTGAATGAACTTTTTGTTTTGTCCTGTGTTTTGAGAGGAAGTCATGTGCAGCAGATTAAAATGGTTTCCCTTCTCTTTCCTCGCAGACTCATCAATGAACTGCAGCCAAACTCTGTGAAGAAAATCAACACATCTGGGATCAACTGGCTTCAGGTAAAGAGCACAGAGCAGAATATGTGAATAATAGAACCATAGAATAATGTAGAGTTAGGTCATGTCATATTTGTGGTGATGAATGTGAAATACGGTGATAGGCTTGTGTGTGTATTGCAACTGATTTTGGGGGCACACAGTCTAAAACTCTTCAGGAAAGGTCCAATATCATTATACCTGTGTAAGTTTTGTTTGTGTAAACTCTTTTATGTCTCAGCTGCTCACACAAAGACATGGCTGCACAGTCAAAGATCCAAACTCCTGAATTTGTTGAGACAAAGTGGAATGCTACTGCTCTCATGTTTCACAATATAGCCTGTTATATAATAATAATAATAGTGCAGATAACCGCCTGAGCACGCACGATCTGGCCCTGTGCCTGTGAAGCACTTTGTGAGGTGTGGTCATAGGAGGAGGTTTGCCAGATTCTTATTGAAACTAAAACTAGTATCGAAAACTAGAGACTCATTTAAGCAGGTATAAACACTAAAAAGTAACATTGACAGGACAGAAATGAACTTTCCTCAGTAGCTTTAGAAAGATCTTGAGCTGTATGAGCACAGGTATAGCACCAAATTTTAGGTCCTGGGTACAAATCAGTCTTGGTGGGGCCGCACTAGATGTTGCCTAATGAAAAATGTACATCACAGGTGTGGTATAGGTTTTTTGAGGTGACCCAACATAACATATAGTATTTTGATCCCGGGGTCAGAATCCTTTTATGGTATGTTGACCCCCCCATCTATATTTTATTAATAAAAATCTTGAATTATATAGAAAAGATTTGAATATTAATACTATATTTGCAATTTAAAACATACTTACATATTTAACCCCAGAATATGTGTATTATAATCAGTTACTTTCAAGTGTCTCACCTACATACTGTACATTTACACAAAATACCAACCCGTTATCCATCAAAACATTCCTTAAAATACCTTTCAAGATCATGAATATGTACCAATATATAATAAAAGTAAATTACATGAGAAATAATAATCATATAAGTAACTACTAAAGAAAAAAGTAAGAGGAGTCAAAATCCTTTAGGGGGGTCACTTTACTATAGCGATATGTTGACCCCGGGGTCAAATACCATGGGGGTCAAAATACTATCTCACACCAGCTTTATGAGGGGCCCCTACTTGCCCTGGGCCCTGGGTAAACAGTACCCTTTATCCACCCAATCGGACCCCCTGTGTATCAGAACAAGTATAAGAGCACATAGACTAGAATATGTTCATGGACACTATGAACCTACTGCACCACTGAGGGATTACACACATATAACACACATGGGAGTAGAAAAGAAAGTACTATGATGATTTAATGTTGAAAATCACATTATAGTGTCTAAATAAAGTGTTTTTATTATCATTGTGGTATCAGTATTGAGTATTGAGTCTATTCCTTAGTATCGAAGTAGAGTTTGAAATGTCAGTATCATGACAACACTACAGAGACGTGGTGACACTGTGCTCCCCCTCGTCTCACTCACTGGTTTCCTGTGTGCTGGAGCTCTTAAGTGTCTCACTCACGTTGCTTTGTGAATCTTCAGTGAGGTTGTTCTTCAACAAAAGGGCCTTTTAAAACTGCTCTGATGCAATGATGTCAGACAGAGTTGAAGCTGTTGAATGCAGTGCTTTTGAAGATAGACAGAAGAACATAGAAACCAAGAGTATAAAAGTACTGATAGGGAACTTGCAGTCTCTGAAGTAGGACTGGGCCATGTGGTGACCTCATTCATGTGATGTGGTCAGATTCAGTGTTTCTCTGTGTTTGAGCATAGAGAGGCATTAAACAGACAGTTTTCTCCACCCTCTTCTCTTCCCTAAGGCTTTGAGTGAGTGACAGCTGGAATTAATCAATTATACTAAAGAGGATTCCAACTGATGAACTGTAATATAAAGATATTAAGTCTAGATATGAACTGCTGACCTGTCACCAGAGTAATTTTCAGAACCAGTGATTTGGTCTGATTTGGTCAAAGTGTCATAACTATACACTGTATAAAGAAGTGGACTAAGGGAGTGTGACGTCACCCACAGCTTTCAGCTCCAGTCAAATGAAGCTCATCAGGGCTAATTTGGAGTCAGGTCCCACAGTAGAAATCGAAATTTATTTACAGGCAAAATAGCTAAACAAAAACACATATAGAGCACGTTAATACAAAAAATGTAAGACCAAAATGAGGAGCTGATAGTAACGGTTATGGACAGAAGGGCAATGTTTTTTCCAATACAAAGTAAATTTAAGACAAAACTTCCTATGTTCATACAGTCTATTGTCACAACAGTGCAACAAGCTGAAAAATCTAACTTTTTAAATCCATTTGAGAGAAAATTACAGGATCTGTCTCATCTGTGGCAAAGAGAAGTTCAGTTTATCAACTGGACAAATGTTTATATAGGCCGAATATGTTTTGCAGCTCATCTAAGCTGCTTCTTCAGTTCTAATCAGAATGCTGGTGGACACTCTGCTGCAAGCTAACTATAAGCATATTTATTAGGAAGTGTGCACACCACAGTGCAGCACTCATGGATTCTCAGGAGTTTGTAAACTCACGAAAATTATGAAACTTCATTTTGCTGGTAGGCTAATAATTTATGCTCTGAAAATTAAGTTTTGAAGCCACAAAATGAAAAAAGTAATGTTCGATCAATATGACTATAGGACCACTTGCATAATATGTAGGTCTAGGTTTGAGTTTGGTTAACGTTTAGTTACTTGAGTATTCTCTTTTTCTGTTGAAGGCTGTTTACCATTTTCATTCCAAATCCTCTTTTCCAATTTTGTAATCCAGTTTTACTCTTGTTTTTGTTTCAGCTGGAGAATGTGAATAATTTCCTGGCGGCGATCAAAGCCTACGGCCTGAAGACCCATGACACGTTTGAGGCCAGTGACCTGTTCGACAACACCAACCTCACCCAAGTCCAGACCACGCTCCTCGCCCTCGCCAGCATGGTACACACGCACTACATGTACATCTATGGTTGAGGGTCCGTCACCTGCTTGTTTCTATTGTTCTGCCTGAAATGTTCCACAGTGTGACATTAAACAGCTCTACCTTACATTTATTCAACTACAGGTGGTTTTATAGCTCAAAAATAACTAGAGAAACAGACATTCTGACTGTGAGTGGGGTCGCCTCTCCACAGATCTGACCTGTAACTTGGTCTGGGTTGGTCTCCATGAAGATAGAAAGGTTTAATGCCATACTATGGAACATTCCAGACAAAGCAACAACATCTCCATGAAAAAAGCATTTGACAGACCCTCCAGAAAAGTAACACAATGCACCTTTAAAGGAGCTGTACCTGATTTTTTACTGTCTTAATGTGTGTGTGACAGGTTTTTATGATTCTCTAATTTTGACTCTTCTCTAGTTTGATGGGACAGTACCTGTTGTAAATATGAATTATAATTTTGCACCAATCAAGAAGCAATTTGTGAAAAAAAAGTAGAACAAACATGTTGAGATTTACAGGAAGTGGATACTTAATATTGATTGAATATTAATATTGAAAAAATATTGATGATGTTACACTCAGGAGAATTCCATCCAAAACGTAGCCACAATTTATACTTAAAAAAACAACACATATTTCTTTTAAAAAATGGCCAAATTTGATTGAATTGAATTGAATTGGAAAAAATTAAATTAAATCTTAAATAAAATGCTCTTAAATGTAGTTAATATGATGAAGTGAGATTCAGGAGCAGGACCAGGCCTCAGCCGCCCTCTCCTCTCACCAGAGAACCACAACTCACCTCCACCACGCCTCTAATTTCCCAGAAGTCTTTATGTAGCAGCCTTTCCCATCATCCCAGTTTGTCTCTGTTAACTCAACCCACCCTCCCATCCACTATTTTGTCTTTCAGTCATAAGACCCCTACAGGGGGGGTCCCATTCCGGCTGAGCCAATTGTAGATTGAGACGGAGCCCCCACCCATAGTCTCAACCAGCCATCTCTGCCTCGCTTCCTACATTATCAATAAACTTCTTCGCACTTTGTCGTTGTTGGCGTGGTCCTAGCATAAGCATAAGCACTTTTCACAACTTTCTAGAGCAGGGTTTTACAGTCATGTCAAAGCTAACAACAACTAGCAAACTAATGTGCATTTCCTGATACTTGGGCAATACAACGCGTTTATAATTGAATGCAAACAGCACACAGGAGACTTATTTTGACCTCAAGAGCTGCTTGTACAATAGATCTGTACTGAGGAGAGACAAATGTTGCTCAAAGACATGCTAAAGAACAGGGTACAGGACCTTTAAGTTTGATTTTGTCTGTAACTCATGTGTCTTCTCCTGTTCAGGCCAAGACTAAAGGCCATTCCCAGGTGGAGATCGGAGTGAAGTATGCAGACAAACAGGAGCGGATGTTTGACGAGGAGAAACTGAAGGCCGGACAGTGTGTGATTGGACTACAGGTACAGAACAACTATGTAACACCCAAAATTTAAATAGAAACCATAGACTGTGTATGTAAATGGAAATGGTTCACGTGCTGGCCTCCCCATCCCAAATAGGAAGTTCATATATGGCTCTTCTGGCTCCTTCTGACCCTGGCTCCCATTGACTAACATTGGAATATTGTGGCTCCTCTGTCTGTAACTGCTGCAGTGAGCCTTGTTGTTTTGGTTTTAAATGTTCATAATTGACCCGCTCTACATGATCCCGGTGTTTTTATTTCACTATTTTATCCTAAAAATACCTTATTCCTAATATACTGTAGAGCCTGACTCCAAATTGGCCCCTTTAACTGTGTGATTGTGAGTTTCATTTGAATGAAGCTGAACACTGTGGGTGACGTCACACTCACATAGTCCACTTCTTTATACAGTCTATGTTAGAAACACACAGTGCAGAATGTTTCTTAAATATATTTTACATTAAAAACACTGATAACTGACAAAGATGTATCGTATCTAAGCACTGGGCTGACATGACGTGTGCTTTGATAACAGTTTATGAGTATCATTTGTAGTTGTAAATCTGTTCATCTGAGTCATGAGAATTTAAATTTATTCCATGATCAGTGAGAATTTTATTGCAAACTGCTGCATTATTTTAGTCCCTAACCTTCATTCACCAGAGAGGCCTGTGCTCTTTACTGCCTCATTCTGTACAGTCTATGGTTGGACACTACTTTTCAGTTTAGCAGTTCAGATTTCAGTCTTCTTGCAAATGTTAAAGGTGGACTGTGTAACTTTTCTGGTGGAGGGTCCGCCAACTGCTTGTTTCCACGGATATCATTGCTTTGCCTGAATTTTGTACAACATTAAATTTAAGTAAGTGATGCCACAAACCCAAATTACAGGTCAGATCTATAAAGATGCTGACAATGGAAAAGCAGGTTTGAAGGAAATTTTGAACAATAAAACCTGTAATTTACTTAATGTAAAGTAGATACATGTTAAGGCATATTGTGGAACATTCATTTCATTTATCTATTTATTTTGGACAACTACTATCCGGAAGACATTAGTGCAATCATGACAACAGAAACAAAACAACAAAGATTTGCCAGTAACATCACCATGAAGACAACTGGTGGCACACCCTCTACCTGAAACGTTGCATATTTTTAAAGTAGATATTTTCACAAAATAGTTCTGGGCTTCTTCTAACCATGCACTGATGTTTCAGATTTGACTTTCATTTGATAACCTGCATGATCCCATGCACTGCCTGTATGTGAGTGAAATCATAACACAAACCAAAGTATAAACAAGTGAAACGTGTATTTAGTCACGAGGAGCAGACTCTGGTGAAACAGCTCCTGTCGAAACCCGCAGGTGTGATGTCAGGGCCCAAACTCGCTCTGAATGTTTGTGTGAGAGCTGCAGAGAGACAAGCTAAAGAGACAAGAAGAACTAAATAGGCACAGGCTGAGAGTGAGTGACTCTGACAGTGTGTGGACAGCCCAGAATGCCCAGGTGATTATAGTACAGGTGTCACAATAAGGCCCATAAGGTTAGAAGATAATAATAATTATTATAATACATTGGATTCATACAGTGTCTTTAAAGATACTGAAAGATAAATAAAAAACACATATGTATTTTCTGTGGTATCAGGTCAAATGTGAAGTAAGATTTCACAGTTAAGGAAAAGATAAATGAAAATGACCAAAATGTTTACCTGACATCCTGAACTCATGCTTCTCCAACACTTTACAAAGACCTGACTCTGGTCACTGGTGGACCTCCCACAGTGCAGCTGGGTGTGTTTGACAGGTGGATTAGCCAGTCAGGAACACGCGTGGTCCATTGGTATCAGAAAAAATAAAAATATCAAAGGTGGCTGAAAAACAGGCAAAAGATTATTTTGATGCAAAATGAAAATATATGTGAAAATGGCTTTAGACTGATATGCGTCTGTATCACCCCACAGGCAAATGCACTCATAAAAATATAATTATCATTAAATCAGCAAAACAAATATAAAAATGGAAAAACTACAGCAACAGCATTTTTTAGATGAAATGTGAACCAAACATATGTGGTAGAGCTATATAATAAAAATAATGTATTGTATAATAATTTATTTGCCTGGAATGTTCCACAGTAGAACATTAAACTTATCTTTATAGCATTTATTTCATTACGAAAAGAATACCTGGAGAAAACATGCATGCTTACTCTGAGCAGAGTCACCTTTCCACAGATCTGATCTGTAACATGGTATCTCTTGCTTGTCTCTAAGTTAGATTTGTCAATAATCATATACAGTATGTATCATATATACTGAACTAAAGGTAAAAAGTACCTGTAAACTTGAAAACTACCACTATATGACATCACAAGGTGGAACAGAGCATTTTGAGCTCAACACAACAGAAACAAAACACAAGTCCAGTCTGTTTTTGAGGAGGTAACAACATTATAACAGCTTAAAGCTCATACGAGTCAATTTAGAGAAATATAGGACTTTTAACAGGAGTAAATAATGATCAGTAATGTGTGTTTATCTATTCAAATAACAGCAAAACACTAAACTTAGAAAACTAAGAGATACAGCTCAGGGCCCTGTGGAAATGTTTCATTTCTGAGCTAGGCAACCTGCAACCAGAAACTAAAACATGATCACTATTTCTAAAAGACACACAAAAGAATACAAAAAAGGACTAAGTTTTAAACCAACTTTTAAAGAAACCAATAGAATACTCAACAGTTTGTGCAGATGTGTGTTGTAAGACTGTTTGGTTTGGACAATAGTGTTTTTCAGGAAATCTGTCTGAATACAAACACAGACACATGCAGGAGTTTGACACAGAAGATTAAGGTTTTGTTGTCTGTAAAACTGTTTAAAGGGCTCATATGACACTATTTTATGATCTGTGTTATATTATCTACAGTACGTTTTGTCACGACATGATTTGGAGATGTAGTTATATAGATAATCATATTTGTGTAGTATCATAATTTTTCACCTGTGATCTGTGTCTCTTTTTCAGATGGGCACCAACAAATGTGCCAGTCAGGCGGGCATGAGTGCGTACGGCACCCGGCGGCACCTGTACGACCCTAAAGCACCCGTCCAGACGCCAATGGACAACACCACCATCAGCCTGCAGATGGGCACCAACAAAGGAGCCAGCCAGGTACCCACCCGCCCTCCCAAACAAACACACACACACCCACATACACTCACGCAGCACACATATAACACCCAAGAACATGGCAAGAACACGTCAGCACGCCCCTGTCTGGAGGACTATAAAGCTCTATTCTGGAATCTTCCCCCAGGACTTTGTGACCTGCTATTGTCTGGGGCCATAAAACTGTGGGCATGTTTAGTCCTGTGGAAGGTAGACTTTTTCCAGGAATACTTCTGCAATTAAATGATTTTACAACGAAAACAAAGCAGCGGCAGTCTACAAGCAACATCCATTACTAAAGATCTATTGAAGTAGTAGTAATAGTAGTTGGAATGTTGTCATTCTAGGTTTAACTAATTCAGAGTTAGTTTATACTTAAAGGACTTAAAGGTAGTTAGTGGTGGATCTGTACTATGTCGACTATATAAAGACTATATAAAGATGCACTATGTAACTTTTTGGTTGAGGATCCTGCTTGTTTCTATGGAGATGTCGTTGCTCTGCCTGGAATGTTCCACAGTGTGACATTAAACAGCTCTACTTTACATTTATTCAATTACAGGTGGTTTTATAACTCAAACATACCTTGAAAAACAGACATACTGACTGTGAGTGGGGTCGCCTGTCCACAGATCTGACCTGTAACTTGATCTGGTTTGGTCTCCATGAAGATAGAAAGGTTTAATGCCATACTGTGAAACATTCCAGTCAAAGCAATAACATCTCCATGGAGAAAAGTATGTGAGAGACCCTGCACCAGAAATACAAAATAAAACCAAAATGGGCTTCTGGACTTTTAAAGGCTCCGTATTACCTCCACATGACTAATAATGTAGGATTACTCAACAAAACACAACTCCAGGTGTGTTTTTAAGGAGGTAACAGCACTATAACACAGCCTAAAGCTCAACAATCTAGTAGTAATATACAGTAGAACCTTCCAAAAGTACTTTGTACTTGTATGACAACTAGAGAAAACCCATTCACACATACACATGAAACAAATAGTGTATGTGGCCCCGTGCAGACAAATACCATATGGACGCTCCAAATACCACTCCACTTATTTCATAAAGAGCACAAGATGGTTTTGAAGCTCTTCTAATTATGATTTGGTTTAGTCCTGGTTTGTCCTGGTTTAGCCCTGGTTTAGACCTAGTTTAGCCCTGGTTTAGACCTAGTTTAGCCCTGGTTTAGACCTAGTTTAGATCTGGTTTAGACCTGGTTTAGACCTGGTTTAGTCCTGGTTTAGACCTGGTTTAGACCTGGTTTAGATCTGGTTTAGACCTAGTTTAGCCCTGGTTTAGTCCTGGTTTAGACCTAGTTTAATCCTGGTTTAGACCTGGTTTAGATCTGGTTTAGACCTAGTTTAGTCCTGGTTTAGACCTGGTTTAGACCTGGTTTAGATCTGGTTTAGACCTAGTTTAATCCTGATTTAAACCTGGTTTAGACCTGGTTTAGATCTGGTTTAGACCTAGTTTGGACCTGGTTTAGTGGCAGTTTGTGGAAAAAAAACAAAAATAAAGTTTAGAAGAAAAACAAAAACACAGGAAGTATGAGGCAGTTGTTAAAGCAAATACCTGTAGCCTTCTTACTGTTTGTCATCAACACTGATCAACTCCATCCAAACTGCACGGACAATTTACTCAGAAGGAAGGCATTTTTCTGGCACTTTAAACCATCTTCAACAAAATAAAGGTGTTATTTATTTTCATTAGTCTAATCTTATCTATTGTGTAATACAGGCAGAATTTGGCCATTGTTAACATGATGGTTAAAAAATGGAAAAAAAAACAACTATGCAAATCAAAAAACTATGCAAGATTTTTAGTTAAATCTTAAAATTCTGTCTATCTGCTTTTGGCGTTGTGTATTTGAATGTAGATTTGCATTGGTGTCCACACTGCAGTTGTGAGTCAAATGTGCGGTCAGACACAGGTCACTGAACACCTCAAACCAGAGCCACAAACGGATCAATGTGTAACAGTGAATAAACAGTGAATGGATACTGGGCTGTTTAATCATTGTTTTATATGAGCATCTGTTATTCAGTAATTAAAGGAATGTCAGGTTCTTGGTTATAGAAGATATTTATTGTTCCTAATATTTGAACCTTGGTTTATTCCTGTGATAAACAAAGAATAATATATGTAGTTGGTTTTGCAAGTTAGTACAACCATGCACTTCTTTTAATACTTTTAATACATGTATTATTTATTTATTTATTTATTTGTTTGCCTACATGTCCATTATTTATTTATTATTTATTTATTTTATTAATGGTTACCGAAAAATCCAGACATTATTTTATACTGAAACTAGTACTGGAACTGGACGCTGACTGAAGGATCTTGATAGTAGCAGTGTGAGATCTTGGTGGACAAATATTACATGTATATTGCTAATACAAGTAATATTGATCAACTATGTGGTATAAATATTGAGCCTTCTCATAGTATTGAAACAGATTTTGAAACAACACTATAACTTTTCTTTTTCTTCTTTTCTTCATCGAGGGAGGACACAGAATTGGTAAATAGTCACGTTTTATATAGTGCCTTTCCATCTTCAAGGCATTCAAAGTGCTTCACCCATTCACACACACACACATACATACTGATAGGTGAGGTGGATTAAGTGTCTTGCCCAAGGACACAATGACACACTGCCAACCTCTGGGTCAGTGCATCTGACCGCTCAACCAGCTATGTTTATGTCGAGAGCAGGATTCAAACCAATAACCTTCAGATCAGTGGACAAACGCTCTACTAACTGAGCTACTGTTGCCCAGAATTCAATGTATATGAAGATCTACTTTGTCGCCTTTCAAGATTATTGTGTATTACAAATTTCATACTTTTTTTAAAACTCATCTCACAGCACTACACAGCAGTTCACCCACAAACAAACATCCCAACATCAGGAGATCAGGTTCACAACAGAGGAATACTTTGAGTGTTAGAAAGTGACAAACACTTATTTAAAAGTCCTATATTATGCAAAACTGACTTTTGTGAGCTTTAATCTATGTATAATACTGTTACCTCATCAAAAACAGACCTAGAGTTGTGTTTTGTTTCATTCACACATGTTTGAGTAACTCTGCATTATTAGTCTGTCCACATCTCCAAAGCTTAAAATGCTCTGTTCCATCTTGTGATGTCATGTAATGTTAGTTTTCAAGTTAATAGCTATAGATAATTCCAAGGCTGAAATCATCTAAGTGTTTCTAGTGAAGGTGCATGAAGTTTAAAAACATAGTGGAGCACTTCCTGTATTACCACATGACATCACCAGGTGGAACTGAGGGTTTTCTGTTCAACCTAAATCTGCAAGGTTTGTTTGTTAATTAAATGTGTGAATGAAACAAAACACAACTCCAGGTGCATAAAATAGTGTCATATTGGCCCTTTAAACAGTTTTACAGACAACAAAACCTTAATCTTCTGTGTCAAACTCCTGCATGTGTCTGTGTTTGTATTCAGAAAGATTTCCTGAAAAACACTATTGTCCAAACCAAACAGTCTTACAACACACATCCGCACAAATTGTTGAGTATTCTATTGGTTTCTTTAAAAGTTGGTTTAAAACTTAGTCCTTTTTTGTATTCTTTTGTGTGTCTTTCACTATCGGTATTGTGAGGGACAGGTTGTGTAGATCCTCATCCGGCTCAGAAATTAAAAGTTTCCACTGAGCCCTGAGCTGTATCTCTTAGTTTAGTATTTAGCTATTAATTACCTGATAGACACACAGTACTGATCATCATTTACTACTGTTAATTATCCTACATTACACTCAAGTGACTCTTGTGAGCTTAAACCATGTCATAATGTTGTTACCTCCTCAAAAACACACCTGGAGTTGTGTTTTGTTTCATTCATACATGTTTAAGTAACCCTGCATTATTAGTCTGTCTATGTCTCCAAAGCTCAAAACCACATTACAACATAGATCAGAAAATAGCATAATATGGGCCTTTTAAAACCAGACCAGAGTCTGTTGTACCTGCGCTGCTTCTCAAGCTTTCTTCTGTTTAGGTTAATAGGTGAGAGTAAATAGGCAACAGTGAATGAATGGAGTGTATTCAGTTTGGCCCTAACCCTGTAATTAAGCAGTATTGTCCAGTGTCCTCATGCTGAGAGCCTCCAGCCCCGTGACCCTCCACAATTCAGCCTCTCATTCACTCACTCAAGGCAATTTGTCTACTCCAGTTCTCCCGGACAAGCATGTCTGTGGACGCCACCACCATTAGGAATTTGAGTATTTTTACACACAAATGATGGTTGTTGTATCAGTGGTTTCCATGTGTTGGCTCAGAGACATTGGGGTGGTTGGTTTCTCCTGAGGGTGCAGGCAGGGTGCTCCTTTCACTTAACTGACTAGGGACCTCTTAAAAAGGATTGTACTACATCATGAATCCTCTTGATACCAGTAACGTTGAACGCCATTTTAGCAGCATTTTATTTGATTAAAGCCACAATATATAACTTTTAGCCCAAAAATACAGACCACAATAAAAGCATTTCATTTAACTATGTTTATCGTGGTGCTAAACATGCTTCTTTACTCAGAGCGAGCTTGCATCTCCATAAACCTGACTTTTATTTGGCCTGGAGGGGGGTCTACTCCTGCTTGTTTCCAAGAAAATGTTTATAGTCTGGTTTTAACTTTCCCTGGAATTATGCAGGTGACATGTCACATTTCTACATTCCTATTTTAAACATGCACATTTACTAGAAACAAAGAAAACAACTAACAACTAACTAATAAATAAGCTTTATCATAATCAACTTTTTGGGACTTAAATCTCCAGCACAGGCTGATATTTAATTTTGGTCAATCTGCTGCCTAAAAACACACACAAAGCTTGATATTAACACTTTAATACGAGGAGAAAACTGCACAGAATTTGACTACACCCCTCTTACAGGTTTGTTAAACAAAGAGCTGCAAGTCCTTTTTTGAATTTAAATTTAAATAACATAATTTGAGAAAAATAACCAAAATTGGTCCTATATAACAGCCCCAAAATATCAGCAGAGCTGGTTGGCCTCCTTATTTTCCAGATTCTAAACCATCAGTATCTGCATCGGACATGAAAAAGCCCGTATCAGTCGATGTCTAATCTTATATATCTCTCTCTCCACAGTCTGGTATGACCGCCCCGGGTACGAGACGTGCCATCTACGACCACAAGCTGAACACGGAGCACTGTGACAACAGCACCATGTCCCTGCAGATGGGCTACAGCCAGGGCGCCAACCAGAGCGGCCAGAACTTCGGCCTGGGCCGCCAGATCTACGACGCAAAATACTGCCCCAAAGCCCAGGCCTCCAACGGAGAGAACGGAGCGGGAGGAGACCAAGACTACAGCAGCGAGTACCAGGACCAGGGCTACCACGAGGAGTACAACCACGGCGAGACTGAGTACTGAGGAGGAGAGGAGCGAGGAGAGGTTAAAGGGCCCATATTACGCTGATCTCTGTTCTAATGTTGTTTCCTCATCACAAACACACCTGGAGTTGTGTTTTGTTTTATTCACTCAAACTCAAATCCTGCAGATTTAGGCTGACTTCTTCTCACAAACTGAAAACACTCTGTTCCACCTTGTGATGTCATATGGCAATGCAGGAAGTGCTCCGCTGTGTTTATAAACTCTATACACCTTCACTCCATAACTTCACCACTCGAAATGCCAATCTCTACTGAACTAAAGGTAACAGGTTGAAGTGTTCACTTGAAATCTTGAGCTCTGGAGATGTAGACAGACTAATAATGCAGGATTACTCAGACATGTGCGAACAAAACAAAACAACTCCAGGTTTGTTTTTGTTGAGGTTACAACATTTGAACAGCTCCTAAGAGCACATTTTGCGTAAGACAGGACCTTTAAGGAAGAGAGAGAGTTAAGAAGGAACGCAAAACAACCTCATGGCGAGTGTTTGATTTTTCTATCTGGAACAGCTGTCGTGCGGAGAGCCCCAAAAGTCTGAAGAAACTGTTATGGGTAGTTTGTTGATAATAAGATCATACTTTAGAGTGGGAGATGTACTGAAAAATGAATGATATCACAATTAGATATTGAGAAGGCTATGGAGGGGGTGTTCTACATGTATCTCTATGACGGAATGTTCAGCAGTTTCCATGGTTACACAATACTTACTTTAGCAAACACAGCTGAAAGTTTTAAAATAGTACAAATCATCTCACCTGTTGTACGAAAAGTCAGTTCTTTATTGTGTTAAATAAAAGATCAGATTAAACAAAGTCCCAGACAGAACAGAGCCTACAGTTAGCATCACACCCCGAAGAAATATTGATGACATCAGCTGCAAAGTATCCACATTGTTTCTATTTAAAAGGAATAAAAGTGACCTCAAAAAAAGACAGACTAGTCAAATCTCCCAAACAGTAGTTTTTTTGTGCGAAACTCAATCAAGAAAATTAAAGTCACATTTTGGCACATTCTTGATGCATTTTTAAAATATATTGTCTCTTAATATTGTTATTGTCCTCTGAATTTTTAGAGTGGGTGAAAAGTTTGTGAAGATGGACATTATTACAAGATACACGAAGAAAACTGTTGTGAATTTAGTTGTGGAAATACCTGATAACTGATACAGATTTACTGGTAATCAGCATCACCATTTAAAGCTACCATCTGTAACTTTGCCTGTTCACATGAAACAGCAGGATTTCAACATCTTCTCTCATTGCACACACTTATATTTAGCAATACAATCTGAAATAGAGATGTGCAATAGACCTGTTGTATCACTTTAAAGAGGGACTGTTATGTAAAATGGAGCTTTCTAGTATCTTGTAATGTTTTTCTCTCACCAAAAACATGCCTGAAGAGGTTCTAGATGTCATTCGTGCATGTTTGAGCGATCCAGGGATCCCTCGAACACTCTGTACATTTAATAATAAATAATCCATCAGTTTTATTATTATTAGTTTTAGCGCTTTTTTGGACACTCAAAGACGCTTTACAGAGCATTATTCATTCACTCCAGACCCGGTGGTGGTTAGATACGACTGTAGCCACAGCTGCAGACTGACGGAAGCGAGGCTGCCAATCTGTCCCATCCACCCCTCCGACCACCACCATCACTCACACACGCTCCACTTTCATACTAGGCAATGAGGGTGAAGTGTCTTGCTAAGAACACAACAGTTTTTACGACTGGCGCCCCCCTGTGGCACCTGATTTTTCCCAGGGTCTCCCAACCAGGCCTGGTCTTGCTTAGCTTCTGAGAGCTGATGGGATCAGGCTTTGACAAGTCAGTATGGCCATTTAGCAGTACAATCCAAGACAAAGTCACAAGTCAAACATTTTCCATAAATACACAAAAGAACGATACAAAACTGTACACTACGACTTCACAAACCTGATGTGACAGATGTACAGTAGTTTCTTTACCTGACTGGAATGTGACAGAGAGCAAAGGCAGGACAGCAAACAACTGAGAGTCAAAAACAAAACTGAAACTTCTTTTTTGGCGAATATTTTCAAAACTATAAAAATTAACAAGCTGATCTAAATATATTATGTTAGTAGTTAATACTCCAGAAAAGTATAATACTCCCTCTTTAAACAGTCCAATTCTGAGTCAACCCACTTTTATGTTTCAAGTTGAAGATGTTTTTCTTGACTTCTGGGGCTCTGCTGTGTAGCTCTTGTCCTTTTGTAGTATTTTTATGATCTTATTGTGCGAGAACCATGTTACACATATCAAAATGATCTGTATTCTGTGATTTTGTATTTAAAAGGACCACAGTAGCCAGTTTTAGGCTTAGCTTGGAATATTTTTGTGCCAAATCTTCAGCCTTATAATTATAGTTATACAGTAAGGGAGATTTCTAAGGGCAAAATGAACCGTATATTTCTGTATTCGTTTGTAGTATTTTAAGCAATCATTTTGTACTTCTTTTGTGAATGTTCTTTTGTGTAGTGTTACGTTGGCATTGTTCAGTATTGGATATAATGCTTGGTTAAAATAAGGGAACAAAATGCATTTAGTTTAAAGGTGAATTGTGTAACTTTTCTGGTGGAGGGTCCGTCCAAGTTACAGGTCAGATCTGTGGAGAGACAACCCTGCTCACAGTCAGAATGTCTGTTTTTTTATTGAGCTATAAAATGTAAAGTAGAAGTGTTTAATGTCATACTGTGGAACATTCCAGGCAGAGCAACAGCATATGCAAAAAGTTACACATTGCACCTTTAATTCATTTCACGTCTTTTTATTAGCGGAAATCATTTTTTGTTTGCTTAAGCTGTCTGACTGGAGCGGGGTTTGTTTTGGTTGGATTTGTACGATAAGAAGAAACTGAAGTGAAGTTCAGAACATTCCGTGTAAAAAAATACTGGATTCTTTTGTGAATGAATAGTGTTTAGTAAAAAAATGATTATCGAATATAGTAGAATATGCAAACAATTCCTGCAAATGTTTTTAATTTCCAATGATTATTTAAGCATATGTGTGATTTTAATGGTGTTTTATACTTTGGAACCTTCAGCGTTGGACCAATCTGTTTCCTCTGGAGTCATCTTTGTACTAATAAAAAAAATATTGTTTAATAAAAGATTTTGAAAAAACAAGGCATTTTGTTTTAGTTTGGTTAATAGAGTTTAGGGTTAATAGATAGATTTTTTTTTTTTTTAATGCCAGATGCCCTTCCTGTCCAGACTTTGGTAGAGCAGCTAAACATTGTACTCAAATAAATGTAATGTTACTTCAAAATAAAATTAACCGAGTAGAAGTACAAAGTAGTGGTCCTAGAAATGACTCAAGTAAGAGTAAAAAAGTATTTATAATTCAAAGTTTATGTAATTTGAAGAACAAAACATAAAATAATGCACAAAATCTAGTATTTTCAAAAGGATAAACAGCAGAAAAAAACAATAATATGTGAAGGAGCGGAGCAAAAAACACAAATGTTCAAATCATTTCATATTGTCCCATAAAACTTTGGTCACTTTAGACTCACTCACAGTGGAAGAGTCATCAAAACTTTTAAATCAAGTAGGAGTACTGTTACTTCAATAAAAATATTATTCAAATAGGAGTAAAAAAGTATGCTGATAGATAAGTACTGTAAAAAGTACAATTTCTTTAATAAAACGTTACCCTCCTCTGTTCCTGTCACATTCCTGTGAAACTCAGTTTAAGAGCATTATGAAAACTTCTTTCCTGGAGACTGAAGTGGTTTTGTGGTTATGCAACAGGCCTGAGCCAGATAAGACGATATGACTCCAGTCTATTCAGATAAGAAGCACACAGGGAAATGAATCAAATGTTCTTTTCACACTAAGTATAATAAATCAAATATAATATGTAACCAGGACAGTACCAAAGGTATTTATGGACTATTCATGAGAGTGTTCAAATATAAAACAAACTACACAGTGGATTTATCTGGTCTCGTGCAGGGGCTCGAACTTTTAACAAAGTATCACCAAAAGAAAATTCAGCTTTCTGAGTACCACCAGATCTACATTATCTGCAAAAAGTATAACAGGACACAGATTTATAGATGTCCAGTTTCTGATTTATATGATGAACCTGAATCATCCATGTGCACAAAGTCTATGGTACCACCAGAGGGAGCACTCCCCTGTCAGGACAACAGGGACCTGCTGAACCACACTTTCTGTCTGCTGCTAATAAATAAAAACATGAAGAACTTCCATGACTGCATTTTTTTTTATTCCAGGAACAAAACTGTAGTTTATTTTGGGCATATGAACTGTTGTACCATAAATCTGACAGAAAAAGATAATGCATTTTTATTGACATTTTATGATTATTATTGTTCAGTATTTTGTTTTATATCTACAGAAAGGATGATTTAAGGGTTCTTCTTCTCTTCAGAAGTCTCAGAAGCAGCATACATTTGGGAGTCAATAATTTGACCTGTGGAAACAAAAACAAATCATTATTGCTCTCTTAAAACAAAGCATCACTGAGTAAAAAAAAACAAAAAAAAACATTAATTTTCCACCATTTACAAAAGCTGTTCCAGGTGACGTTGTGACTAATACAAAACCTCAGACATTACCTATGCAGGACGTGGTGTGATGTAAAAGGTGGAGAAAAGGGAGGCAGGTGGAACATTGGAAACCTTCAGCGTCCACAACAATACTCTGACTGAAACCTTTCACCTATGGAACACTCATTGAGTTGAGTACAGTTGTAATGTCATTTCACAGATGTGTGGATCTGTGCATTACCTGATTCTGTAACAGCTTTTGTGAAAGTTTTAAAAACGGGATGCTCTCTGGTGTTTTCATGTCATGCAGTAACAGAGCTGCTCGAGCCAGAGTAATGGATGAACGAGGAGGCATACTCAGACACCCTGAAAGAAGACTCACGACTTCCTGAAAACAAACACGTACAGATACTCAAAATACTCAAACACTGAAAGCATTCAGAATCTCTGCTCAGGTCTGTGTTGATGCAGGTTTTCTTACTTTGACTTGGTCTGATTTATCTGCACTGCTTTTGTCCCAGTGTGCAGCTTCCAGCATCAGCAAAGCTTCACTGTCAGGATCTCCCCATCTTTTACATTCTTCAATCCCTTCCCTCATCACACGGGCTGTCCCCCTTCTTAATTTATCACCTAAATAAAATGAGAATAGTGTCAAAAAGTGATAATTAAAGGCCTTATATTAACCAAAATCACATCCTGTGAGCTTTTACCCATGTTATAATGTTGTTCTCTCCACAAAACAGACCTGGAGTTGTGTTTTGTTTCATTCACATGTTTGAGGAACCATTTATTATTATCTGTCTACATCTCCAAAGCTCAGAATGCTCTGTTCCACCTTGTGATGTCATGAAGCTGTAGTTTTCTTGTTAACACCGACCTTTAACCTTTTGTTCAGTAGAGATCAGCAATTCCAGGACTCAGATCATCAAAATGACAAACATGACATCATGAGGTGGAGCAGAGTGTTTTCTGTTTGAGAGAAGAACTCAGCCTAAATTTAAAAGTCTGTGTTAAACATGTGAATGAAACAAAACACAACGGCAGGTCTGTTTGTGATGAGGAAACTACATTATAACATACAGAAGATCAGAAAAATAGTGTCATATATAGGCCCTTAAATAAAAACTAAGAAAATGAAGAAGTGCATGAACCTGGTCCAGCTCCAGCAGTAACATCATGTGCAGTCAGAATGTGAGCCAGAGTGAGACGACAGCGTATCCACAACACAGAGCTGATCCTCTCGCTCGCCTCAACCACCTCCACACAGTCCCCCTCCACACGGGGCCGAGCGGTGCCCTGTGAAAGAGAAACAAGACACACTGTTTCAGTTTACAGCTCCAGACAAAACCTGCACTGATAAAACACACAAGCTCAACTGTAAATATGAATGATGCTCTGTTGATACTTCGCAGCTGATGTCATCAACAAAAAATAATTATGATTTTTGCGGCAAAAAAATGTCCAACTAACCCTAAAATCAAAACTGATTCAAATGAAATACTGTAACTTGATTGAAATAGTTGATGATAATCTAAACTAGAAAGAGTGTCCTGACTGAGTGACCAGAAAAATGTATAAATCTCTTGGTATTATAAGAAAAGTTTGTAAAATCCTGGACTAAAAAATTATACTTCCATTATACTATAGTTTAATTTATCCCTGTCTCTCATATTGCAATAACGTCTGTGCAAGCACTTTCTCTACTCCTCTGAACAAAATATTGGTGCAAAAATGTTTTGTTCAAATTGAAACTCATTCCATGTCACTAATTTATTCATCAAACTTAACATTCTTAATATTTATCAGATTTTTGTTTTCATGTATACAATTCTTTATAATACAACTAAGATCCCTAATCATTTCATATTTTACTTTAAAACCAATGCAGGTTCACAGATACAAAACTCATCTAAAATGTAATTTTCATGTTCCAAAATGTGTCACATCAAGAGCGCAGTTTTGCTGCAATAAAGAGGTGGGAAATTCTGGAGCCAGTTTTCACATCTGGCTAGTGATGCATATCAGAAGTGTTGTTTAAAAAGAATTTAAGGATTTTTTTTTTTTTTTATTCATACACAGCTATAATGTTCAATTTTAATGTATTCATAAAATGGAGGGTTTAATATCAGCTCTTTTGGGGTTTTTGCCTCTTCCGGCACCTACTTTTTTATCTAGTGTGTTTTTTTTTTTTATTGCTGTATGTTATATATGTGCAAAATAAAAACAAATAAATAAATAAATTCCCTGGGGGTGTGATGCTAACAGAAAGCACTACTCTGTTAGAAGCAAATTAGTCAAAATCTCTAGAGTCTGTATGATGCGTCACATGTGACTACGTTTTTCAGTTTTTCACTCTCACCTTTTTTGGTTGAAAATCAAACTCCTAAACAGGACCATGAATGCTCGTATTGATCACAGGCTCCTGAAAATGTGCCCTTTAAACATTTTTGTTTATGTATTGTGTCACCATGGTAATTGCTGAACTTTCCCACAACAGAGATGCATGTAGAACACCCCCAGTCTGATGTCAGTGTAAAGTCAGTATGTATAGTCTGTATTGCTGTAAAATTTAAACTACTGCTGCCTCACTGTCTGTCTTTAAGCCTCTCCCACACACTCACTTTTTCTCTGTCTTTTATCTCAGCTTGAGGTTTGGCTTTTTCTCTCTATTTGTATTGTTGTATTGGATTATATTTACCTGTACCTGTCACTCTATTTATCACTGTTTCTTTTGTGTTTTGTGAGTAAAGTTGAGTTGAGTAAAACACAAACGTGAAAAGTTACCCCTTCAGATGCGGTTTGTTCCTCAAAAACCGATGTGTTCTCGTTTGTGATGTCAGAAGTTGACTTTAGAAACATCAGGGCTGACATGGCCATCTCAGCACTAAAGAAAAACACAACAGTTAGAGAGCTGAAACATGCACCCACTGGAGTCGTACACAGACACACACCTGAGAGCAGCTTCTCCCTTCAGTAAACAGAGTTTGGCCTTGAGCAGACTGCACTCCACAGTCAGGTCCTCTGTGCCCACAGGGCCGTGTACTCTCAGCTCATTCAGGATGGACTTTAATGAGCTGGACACTGACTCCAACAGCTCGTACTAAAGCACAACAGAGTTATTTACAAACTTCACTTTTTATAAACACTTCTCATGTACTATTGATACTCCACAGACGATGTCATCAACATATCAGGGGGTGTGATGCTGAACTTGTTACGCACAACAGGAGAGGACCCCAAAAAAGACTCAAAACAAGGAGAAAAAAAAGCAAAAGTAACAAAGATTTATTGGCCGGGGAGAATAGGTGGGGGAAGAATGAGGAGCCAGCAGCTGGAAAGCAGGAGTCTTAAAGGCTACGTTCAGACTGCAGGGCTTAATGCTCAATTCCGATTTTTTTGTGAAATCCGATGTTTTTGCGAGGTCGTTCACATTTCCAATTAAATGCGACTTGTTTGTGACTTCAGTGTGAACGGTAAACGGCCCGAAAGTGTCCCGCATGCGCACTGGAGGACACGATGACATCAACCCCGTGGTTGTGATAATAAAACAGTGAAACAGATACATAATTAAGGAAAACTGTTCTGCAGAAACCATTCATGACAAACATATATTGTATAGTCAGTATAGTCACATTTTCGTTAAGTGTTGGTCGTTTTTAAGCAGATTTTCTGTCTTGACATGACAATGTATGTCTCTCTTTACTGTTGGCAGGTATCAAATTGTTTAAAAATAGAAACACCTGGGACATTTCTTGTATAAAACTGGGACAAATCAGTGGTTTTGGACAAATCTGCTGGGACAGGGGACACAGGCTCAACACTGGGACTGTCCCGGGTATAAACAGGGACGTCTGGTCACACTATTGTATGCTAACTGGAGGCTCTGCTCTGTCTGAAGCGCTGTTACTCAAGTTAGATTTTACTACGAGCTTTGTTTTAACACAGTCTAAGTTGAAACTACAACAGGTGAGTTATTTGTGCTCTAACTAAATCTAACTAGCATTAGCCAACTCTCACCATTTTGGTTGTTTGAACAGAACCATGAGCGTCAGACTGATCCTCCTCCTGAAAATGTGATGTTTAATTCCATTTTGTATTTTTTCTTGAGTTTTCAGATGATTTAAAAACTTTTTGACAGCATTCACAAATGTTTGTGCAATGTGTCACCATAGTAAATGCGGAACATTCTGGCATAAACATACAGGCAGAACACCAACAGCATGATGTCACTGCAAAGTAAGTTGTGTGTAGCAGTTTTTATACCTTTATCATCCCCGCAGTGAGTGGCTCCTGAAGAGACTCGAGACTCAAGATGGAGCAGTTTTGTGTCTTCTCTCTCTTGTTTTTAGAGTCACTGGTTTGGTTTTCTGTTTCTGGAACTAAAGACATAAACATAGACGCTGTATTTCTCTGTTGTACAACTTCGTCATGAAGATTTAAACAGTACCAAAAAGTAATGTGAGCAGATTTTCAAAGTTTTAAACTGGGACAAACCCGGGTTGGGATGCTTGGTATAAATAAAAGTGTTAAAAGAGTGTGTAACATTGTGTTTTCTTATGTCAGTCATAATCTGAGGAACTTCTCTCATTACATTTTTTTTGCTTTACGGTCATTCACAAAGACTGTTTAGAAACATCAGAGCTACAAACAACAAAACAAATGACAATTTATGCTTCTCTTTACTGTTGGCAGGGATCAGATTAGTCAAAAATTGTGATAGTTCTGTTTTAGTCCTGGTTTAGACCTGATGTAGTCCTGGTTTAATCTTAGTTTAGACCTGGTGTAGATCAAATTGGTCCAACATAGGGACATTTGGCACATTTCTTGTATAAAACTGGGACAAATCAATAGTTTTGAATAAAACTGCTGGGGCAGGGGACACAGGGCTCAAAACTGGGACTGTCTAGGGTAAATGGAGACGTCTGGTTCACAGATATTTTTCTCCACAAACCTTCCAAAGGACTGGATACAGTGGAGCTTATTGCTAGGATCAGCTGAGCTTGTGCGAGCTTAAACTGAAGGCACAGTGCAGATCCATAAAGTGCACAAACAGGTGGAGTCACATCACAGTTTAGAAGTTCTTTCAGCGCCTAATAAGAAAAAATATGATCAAATGCTTTTTAAATGATGCCACATTAAATAAAACATACAAGATATATTTTTAAAGGCTTTATATGACGCTATTTTCTGATATGTTATAATGTTGTTTCCTCATCACAAACAGACCTGGAGTTGTGTTTTGTTTCATTCACATGTTTAAGACACAAACCCTGCACATTTAGGCTGAGTTCTTCTGTCAAACAGAAAACACTCTGTTCCACCTTGTGATGTCATGTGGTGATACAGGAAGTGCTCCACTCTGTGTTTTTAAACAGATTCTCTAGAATCATTTGCATAAATCAAATCTAGAATTGCCAATCTCTACTAAACAAAAAGTAAAAGGAGCTGTTAACTTGAAAACTACAGCCTGATGACATCACAAGGTGGAACAGAGCATTTTCAGTCTTTTATTAGTCTCTAGACAGAAGGATTACTCAAACAAAACACAGCTCTGAGTATGTTTTATATACAGTATGAAGATGTAACAACTTTGCAATGGTTAAACCTCACAAAAGTAAATTTTGCGTAATATAGGACCTTTAAAGGGCCCATCTCATGAAAAATGAACTCTTTTCACATTGTATCTTCTGCACATATACGAGTCAGCAGATGCGCGGTGGAGGCGGAGGTGGTGGAGCAGGGGACGAGGGCAGGTGCGAAGCATTTTCTGCTACATCAAACACATCATAGGTGTTTCTGCTCCATCATCGTTGTAGCAGCTTTAGTTCATTGTCACGTGGGAGGGTGGCAGAAATACTCTGTAATTTGTTAAAAAAAACACACCAAATCAATCTAAAAAACACTTCAGCGACAAATACAAGGCCCACACGTCACTCTTAGAAGGTAGAAAGCTCTGAAAAGTGGATTTTGCATGAGATGGGCCCTTTAATAATACAGTCACATGCAGCATGATCATACCTCCATGTTTTCTAGGATAGTGTGGGAGCTGTTGAATGTGGTTTTAGCCTGCAGCATAATAAAAAGACAATCATGAATAAATGCAACTGCCAGAAAAGTAAACAATTCAGCTTCAAAATCATAAACATGTTCAAATACATGATCTCTGTGTGTCTGAATGTAGTGACCCTGAGGCAGACGGATTCCTCCTCCTTTTGAGAGAAGCAGAGTCTCCCTCACAGCCTCACTGAAGAGACCTAACTCAGTGAGGGCGCGTATCTATGAAAAACAAACAAGTTATTACTATGAACCTGTGAAAACTATTCATATATGAGATCAAAAATAATATTTGAATTAAAAATAAGAAAAGTCTGACCTTGAGGATTTTGCATTGAACAGTACGTTGCACATCTCTGCACACAGACCCAACCAGATAGAAGTACAGGGACAACATGGGAAGCAGCTTAGAAGATAAAGAGGAAATGTGTTTAAGTCTTTCATGGTTGAATTGTAATTGTATTGTATTGTTCTTTGCAGCTGATGTTAACAATTCCTGGGCGTGTGATGCTAACTGTAGGCACTGCTCTGTCTGAAGCTCTGTTATTCAAGTAAATTAGACTTTAATCTGATCTTTGATTTAACGTAATAAAAGATTTGACTTAGCAGACCTTCAACAGGTGAGCTGATTCACACATAAAGTCACAGTTATAGTCACATGCTAGCCAGCATTAAACAACAGTTTTCAGTTAGTCGCTCTCTCCTTTTTGTTGAAAATCAAACACCTAAACACGACTATGAACACTAGTATTTTACTAGAGGTTTAGAAGTTTTTTGACGGTGTTTGCTAATGTGTGCATTCTGTCTCCATGGTGACTGCTGAACATTCCACCATACAAATACATGTAAAACACCCCCAGCACGATCACTGCAAAGTATTAATACATTGTACATAGTCTGTACACAAAAATATAAAAGAAAGAGAAATTCAAACATCAATTTCTTGAAATGAGTATGTTGGAGGAGAGGGGGCAGCCCAAGAACAGAGACAAATCCTGCACACTGTCTTACCTGCAAAATGTCAGATTTATTAGGACATACAACATTTCAGCACTCGACCTTCATCAGGTAAATAGAGTCAGAGCTTATGTGGTTATATTAAATAGGGTGTGTCAAGAACCCAAAGGTGACAGGTTGTAAATTATAATAATTATTTGTATTACTACACTGTATACGTGTTGAATTATGTTGTACTGTTCCTTTACGACCTGTCACCCTTGGGTGCTTGCCACACCCCATTTAAGATCCTGAGCTCTCAGTCTATTTACCTGATGTGCCAGAACATCGCATATCCTAATAAGTCTGACATTTTGCAAGTAAGACGGTGTGCGGGACAGTCTGTACACACCTTCATGTAATGTCCTGTGGAGAAGAGCCAGTGGCAGATGAAGCTCAGACTTGCTACAGCAGTGCCCAGGTGAAGTCTGGAGGAGTCTGAGAAGAGGTCCACACCAGGCAACAGGTCTTCTATGAGCACATCCGACGCATAATAAAGATCGGACTGAGGCTGTGCCAGAGAGCAGCACAACACACACTGAGAAAACAGGACACAGAGACATACGTGTTTAACGACTTGTATTACTCTCTGCTCTGATCTGTGTCAGACTGTTTCCTCATCAGAGACACCTCAAGCTGTATTCTGTTTCATTCACACATGTTTAACACACAAATCCAGCATCATCTCTCAAAATGAAAACACTCTGTTCCACCTTGTGATGTCATGTGGTAATACAGAAAGTGCTTCACTCTGTTTTTAAGCTCCATACACCTTCACTAGAATTATTTGTATGATTTCAGCCCTGGGATTACCAATCTCTACTGAACTAAAGGTAAAAGGAGTTGTTAACTTGCAAACTACCGCGTCATGACACCACAAGGTGGAATGGAGCAGACTAATGAACCAGATTTACTCAAACTTGTGAATGAAACAAAATACAACTCCTGGTATGTTTTTGAGGTGGTAACAGCATTATAACTGACATCCCTTCATTCCGACATGTCTCTATTTAGATGTGCTATTTTTCCGACACTTTTAGAATCACTATTCCGACACGTCATATTGATTGGTTATTTATTTAGGTTATATGGTGTTCTCCGGCTACATGACCAAATGAATAAAACACAAAGGGCCCAGGCAGCCTCAGTTTTAGATGAGATTTTTTCCTGAAGGTTGGCTCATGGCTTAAAGTTCATAAGTGTCAATTTTGTGTAATATAGGACCTTTAAAGATGTTATTTATCGAGTCATAATTGAGACTTTACCTTGAACAAGTGAGCAGACTGGAGACAACTATCAGTGCGTTTACTGATGTCTGTTAAAATATACCTTAACATACAAAAAGCCAATAAGTATTCAGATGCTTAATTCTGCATATTATTATTGATATATATTAAAAAAAACCTACTGGGCAATTTTGGCTGTGAGGCAGGCAGCATGTAGACAGCCCCAAACCCCAGACACCTTCAGTCTGTGCTGAAGGGAACAGTCTCCAAAAGTCACACCATCCCATCTTTCAAAAGCATCAGGGATCTTCAAGGCCACGTTGACTGCCTTTGTCCAACATGCATGTGCTGCCCTGAGAGGGAAAGAAAAGATGATCTAAAGGGCACAAGAATCATATTTTAACATAACAAAAAGGTCATATTCTTACTCACTTTGTGTTGCTGTTATAATAATGGAGATTTCCCAGTTCATGCATCGCCACAACAGTCAGGGAGTCACACTTGTTTTCATGGAAATATTCTAAATAAAATATGCATCCATGTAAAATCCATCAGATGCTTTTATTTTAGAAGCTGATACTTTGCAGTGACATGTCACTGGGGTGTTCTACATGTATCTCTATGATGGAATGTTCAGGAGTTACCATGGTGAGACAATTAACAAACATTGCCAAAAAAGTTTTAAGATTCTCTAAAAACTCAAGAAAAATACAAAATGGACTGAAACAGCATCAGGAGACAGTGACCAATTTGAGCTGTCATTAGGGTGACCAGACGTCCCTTTATACCAGGGACAGTCCCAGTTTTGAGCCTGTGTCCCCTGTCCCACTGGATTTATACAAAACCAGTGATTTGACCCAGTTTTATACAAGAAATGTCCCTGATGTCCCTCTTTTTTGACCAATTTGATTCCTGCCAGCAGTAAAGTAAATTGTCACTTGTTTGGCTAAAATGCAGAAAATCTGCTTAAAAACGACCAAAACACAAAGACAATGTGACAATACTGACACATGTTACTCATGACTGGGCTGAACAATTTTCCTTAATTATGCACTTTTATTATTACCAACCACCACAAACTGGGGCTGTCCCAGTTTTTGATTTTGAAATTCTGGTCACCCTAACATTCATGATCCTTTTAGGTGTTTGATTTTCAAGAAAAAAACATGTGAGAGTGACTAACTAAAACTGTTTCTAGCTTGTGACTGTAATTTAATGTGTGAGAGACTTGTTTAAGAGCACAAGTCAGCTCACCTGTTGTAGTTCTGGCTTAACCATCTCTTTTTGGTCAGATTGTTTAAAAAAAAAAAAAGTCTAAAGTCTAACTTGAGTAACAGAGCCTCAGACAGATCAGTGCCTCCAGTTAGCATTACACCCCAGACAATGTTGATGTCATCAGCTGCAAAGTATCAGCACCAACATCAGTGCACTCGTAGTTACTCACTGATAGCTGTGGTGTACGCTGCAGTGATGGTGGATACTTGGTCTGGGCTGAAGGGCACACTGTACAGAGACTCGACGCTCTTGTATTCCTTCTCCATCAGATCACATGGTTTGACTGTTGGAGCTGTTATGACCACAGGATTAAACTCAACCTGACTCTCTAACCTGCTGGGCTCTCTGCTCCGGACACCCTGAGCTGTAAAACCTACACAGAAAACATTTATCATCATCACAATCACATGAGCTTTAAATCCAGGAAGAAAGTTTGTCACAAACATTAGTCAAAAACAGACCTGGAGTTGTGTTTTGTTTCATTCACATGTTTGAGTAATGTTTTTTGTTATTAGTCTGTCTGCATCTTCGAAGCTCATAATGCTCTGTTCCACCTTGTGATGTCATGAAGTGGCAGTTTTCAAGTTTGCAGCTAGTTTTTACCTTTATTTCAGGGTCTGGTCAAGTGGTAACGGAGGGAAACAGGCAGATTTTTGACATTCAAATGTCTCTTATTCAGAAACTAGAGGGACTATTGAAATAAGTAAAGTATCAGAATGTAGGAAAGAGTTACACTCCAACAGGGTCAAGTTAAACCTGTGATATTCTTTCAAGTTGTTGACAAAAAGTTTAAAAACTCATGTCGGTAACGGAGGGAATGAAATATGCTGCACTTTTTGGTCAATAAATCCAAACAGTGATAACTCTTGGTTCTCACTTACAAATCCTTAACAAACTGGTTTGAATATTTGCTTCATATAGTTTTCTACCATATGGTACAAGATTAGGTTGAAAAACCTCTTACTTTTTGACTCATGAGATTTTTTATTAAGAAAGGTCATGGTAACGGAGGGAAAAGTAACGGAGGGAAAATTGTTCAAACAAGTAGAAGGTGCATGATTTTACATCATTTGTCGCTTTTTTCTTCTGAATACTTTAATATTACTTCAAAATGAAAGGAAACTATTTCTATAAAATATGTCAGTCCTTCCAAGCAAATTTTTATCATTTCAAACAATTTTTTTTGAAAAATCATGTACCTTCATCAACAGTTCAAAGATGGAATAACACAAGATATGATGAAATACATCCATTTATTGACATGATTTGCAGGTCTTTGAAATTTGGGAAATAATTTTTGTTCCATGTTTCATACATGGTCTGTTTAAAACATATGGAACTTTAGAACCAAAAATGGTACAGAAATAAGGTCAACAGTTTCATAAACTAGAGTACATATGTATCTGTTCAATACATTTTTATATCAGATGCATTAACTTGAATTTTTGGCCTTGATGTTTACTTCTGCTTGACCGGGCCCATATGTAAAGATTCAAGGCCTGAAATGATCCAAATGATTCTAGTGAAAGTGTATAGTGTCTGAAAACACAGTGGAGCACTTTACCACTAGAGCTGGGAATCATTAAGAAGTTGTCGATACAATCTCGATACACTGGCCACGAAACGATACATTTCTCAATACAGTGCACTTTCGGTTTGATGCAATATATTTCAAATCAATTTGATAGAATTCAATAAAGAATAAAGACTAAATCATGACTGTGATACTAAAATTCTTTGTTAAACCACTTCTTGTGCAAAGTTCATATGAAACACAAACATTTTACTCAACAGAGAAAATGTCAAATGTGTTGCATAAACGAGTTTCCTTCCTCTGAACAAACAACAAAACTGTAGCTGTAACAAAATAATTTAGTAAAATACTGTATACCAAAAAATACTGGCCATATATCGATTCAGCAGCCCACGATATCGATACTGTATCAACACATTAAACTATATGATATATTGATATTTCAATATTTTTCCCTAATTACCACATGACATCACAAGGTGTATTTCCAGTTTGAGAGAAGAGCTCAGCCTAAATGTGCAGGTTTGTGTGTTAAACATGTGTGAATGAAACAAAACACAGCTCCAGGTGTGTTTGTGATGAGGAAACAACATTCTAGCACAGATCAGAAACTAGAGTCATATGGTTCTTTAAGCTGCGTGTCACTTACAGGACTGTGTGTTGGCCAGCAGACGCTGTAACTGTGAGCGGCTGTGTTGGAAGAACCGGAGACATGGGGACGTTTTCTCAACAGCTTTTCGATACCAGTACAGTGTGTCTTCAACATCCAGAGGAACACACACAAGGACCTTTGACCTCTGAACTTCAGCCTCTTTCAAAGGTTTACGGAATCATGTATTAAACCAACAAAATTCCAACTTGTGTCTTTCTATATTTTGATTAACAGACAGTTCCAACCTATAAGCTGGTCCCTGGATGGTGCTTCCTTTTTAACAGTGGTCTTTTCCAGTGTGGACGTCCACCCGCTCAGAAGCTGAACATCCACATAACTCCTGTATGTCACCTGGGACAAAGAAGAAAAGTTCAAGTGCATATGACAGGTTCTTATTATCAAATTTGGACTTAATTTGGTGGGATAATAACAGTTGTAAATATAAATTAAAGTTTTACACCAATCAACAAGCAATTTGAGAAGAAAAATGTAAAAATATGTTAAAAATTTGAAAGTACAGTCCCTGACAAAAGTCTTGTCACTTATCCATTTTGTAGAAACAAAAGCTTATAACCTGACTTTAAATTAATCGATTGGTTTTAGAAATGTCTCATATGAAAGCTAAAACCCTCCCAAATTATGCTCAATATACTAAAATAAATTAGCTTCACTGAAGAAAGATTGATCATTTAATGAACACAGAAAGGTCAGATTTTGGCAAGACAAAAGTTTTGTTGCCTACAGAAAATTGAACAAATAATTTACTTCAAATACAAAAATATGTTGCATAACGTCAGTGAATGAAGTAGTGGTGCTGTGAGATCCATATTTAATATCTTGTATGACTCCATGAGCTTGAAGGACGCATCCATGTGGTTCGACAATGATTCATATAATTTGTTGATGAAGTCATCAGGAATAGCAAAGAAAGCGTCTTACATGCCTCCCAGAGTTCATCAAGATTCTTTGGTTTTGCCTTCCATGCTTCCTCTTTCATTCTACCCCAGACATGCTCAATGATGTTCATGTCTGGTGACTGGGCTGGCCAGTCCTGGACCACCTTGATCTTCTTCGCCTTGAGAAACTTTGATGTAGAGATAGAAGTATGTGATGGAGCACCATCCTGCTGCAAAATTTGACCCTTTTATGGTTGGGAATGTAAGAGGAGCTAATACTTCTTGATATTTTAGGCTATTGATATTTGCCTTCCACCCTGCAAATGTCTCGCACACCCCCATACTGGATGTAACCCCCAGACCATGATTTTTCCACCACCAAACTTAACTGTTTTCTGGGTGAATCTTGGATCCATGTAGGCTCCAGTAGGTCTCCTGCAATATTTGCGGCAGCTGTGATGTAATTCAAACGAGGATTCATCTGAGAAATCCACCTTCTGCCACTTTTCCAGTGTCCATCCTTTTAACAGGCTGTGGGCCTTGGCAAATGCCACACGGTTTTTTAATTGCCTTTTGTTTAGTGCTGGTTTCTGTGCACTGATTCGACCATGGAGGCCATTTCGAGACAGAATTCTACAAACTGTTGTGGTTGACACAGGGACTTGAGGTGACCAGGCCTGGTGGAGTCTGCTGCAGTGGAAAAGGGGCCTTGGATTTTCAAATCAACAAACGGTCCTCCCGAGCAGTTGTCTTGCGGGGTCTGCCGGACCTGGGCTTGTCAAAAACATCTCCAGTCATTTCAGATCTTTTTCTTGTTCTTTGTACTTGACGCTGAGACACATTGAAGGTGTCACCACCTCAGCAGTGGATCTGGTCTTCAGCCTCTTGATAATTAACACTTTGGTCTCAGGGTGGATCTTAGACATGTTGTCAGAGGTCAAGTTGCAGTTGATGTGAAGGTCTGGTGTGCTGGGGGTCTTTTTATACACACCCACTAATTGATTGATCAGTAACTGATCACAGGTGAGGCTGTAATCTAGGATTGGGTGCATCATATGACAAGACGACAAGACTTTTGTCTTGCCAAAATCTGACCTTTCTGTGTTCATTAAATGATCAATCTTTCTTCAGTGAAGCTAATTTATTTTAGTATATTGAGCATAATTTGGGAGGGTTTTAGCTTTCATATGAGACATTTCTAAAACCAATCGATTAATTTTAAGTCAGGTTATAAGCTTTTGTTTCTATAAAATGGATAAGCGACAAGACTTTTGTCAGGGACTGTAGTCTGATGACATCACACTGGGGTCAGGGAGAATTTTGTCCATTTTGTACGTTACATCACATTTTTCTGACACTTTGAACATGATTTCAACAAAGTAAAGGTAGTTTCTTGTATTTTTATTTGTCAAATAAACATGTCTGTGCACATTATGGGGTTCCCTACCATGATGTCATGATTTCCAACCAGGAAGTAAAAAAAAAATTAAAAAGTAAAAAAGTAAAACCTACAAATTGGCTCGGAAAAAAAATAAATAATAATAAAATCAACTTAAAGCTTAAATATATTGATCTTAACTTTGTTTTGGTAAAATGAGTAGTTTAATTTGTCACTGACACATGCTGATGTGGCTCTATAGTGATTATGGTTTATATGTTGTAAAGTTGAGTTTATTTATGCAGAAGATTTTAATGTGGGATTTAATTGTGGGATATCTCATAGCTCCTCACCGCTGGTTAAACCTCCTTCTTATGCTAAATGAGCTCATGGTTTGTATTTTTCCTGGTTTATTAAATTGATTTAAGTTAATTTTTGCACTTGCGCATTTGTAAAATTATGTCAAGAAACCGGGATACTCCATTTGATCATGTACACGGGGATGTGAGTGTCCCGGTTTCTCAGTGCACATGTATACGCAGTAACCCAAATACTGACAGAACTGGGATATGGCTAATAACCTGGATACTGATGTGCATGTATACACACTCATAGTTTTTTTTCTATCACTATATGGTAATGTGTGCAATAGTCAAAATCTGTAGGTTTGGAGGTTAAATTTGAACCAAATCATATTAAAGGACAAAAATAAATCAAGAATTAAAAAGAGATGATACATGAGCCCTGGTTTAGTCCTGGTTAAGTCCTGGTATAGTCCTTGGTTAGTCCTGGTCTCTATTTTCAGAACAAGTCCTGCCTGAGAGCCGTGTTCTCGAGTGCCCAGATGCCGTACCTCTCGTCCAGTCACTTCTGTTGTCTTGACGTGGTGAGGCTGAGGAGCCAGGGGTCCCTTTAACGACTCAATCCTCTCCAACAGTTTTCTCTGAGCGGTGATTAGCAGAGGTGAAACTATTAACGCATAACAATCTCTAAAAAGACACAAACAGAAAATAAATCAGTAAAAGATTTCTACAGTATTGTGATGTCTACTTTATCTAATTCTCTTACCGTGTGTATGTATTGAAATGTAAAGCTAAATGAGCTAACGTTTCCCATTTGCCAAAGTCATGAAGTTGCTCCAGCGTGTGGATCACCAGTGCACTGACCCAGCGCATGTCGATTTTGGTTGTTTCGTCCAAAGATGGAGAGAAGTAGAGATAGGAATGTGTATCTTCTTCTGAAATGTCCTTTTCATAAACACTCCACAGCTACATGACCCAGAACACATGAGAATATGGATTAGACTGGCTCTACTAGAATAAAAACTATACCAACTTATTGTTCAATATATGAAAGATGGAACAATTATTTAGTATTTATCGTGGGTACTTTGTAGTGCTGAATAAATAATAGTGATGCAACAATAATGGAAATATTGTGATAGTCTCTCAATAATATCATGGGCCATGACAGTATATTGAATTACAAGGTTTTTGCTTAAATTAATAGATTTTAATGTCTTTCTTTGTCATTTTAATGTATTTCTTACTCTGTAAAGCACTTTGAATTACTTTGTGTACGAACTGTGCCTTACAAACAAACAGAGGGAACTCCATAGACCATGATCCTTTGGTGTTGTCAGTGCAGACTATGTGAAGAAATGTGATTAACAAAGAAGAAACTGTTATTAAACACTTTCAAATCTTATAAAAGTACCAAAGGATTTTCAAGGATTTTTAGGGCTTTTGAAAGGAAAAAGTTGCATATTCACAACTTCGTAATCCTTCACAAAATATTTCAATAAGTAAAGTACCGTGATAGTTCAATGAGGTTCATTTGGTCTTCCAATATTTTATGTTATTAGCTTCTTTTTTCAGACCAAGAGTTTTATTTCATACGTGACAGTTTCGACTGCTCACTAGCGCTCTTCCTCAGAGTGGTCATGTGATGTTGCTGTGACGTGTCTGCTCAGCTGATTTATACAAAACTAACCAAAACCTGTATGAATCAGCTGACCAGACACGTCCCAGCAACATCACATGACCACTCTGAGGAAGAGCGCTAGTGAGCAGTCCAAACTGTCAGGTATGAAATAAAAGAACCTAATAACATAAAGTAATGTACTGTGAGATGCATATTGTGAACATATTGTATTGAGGGATTTTGATATTGATACATCCCTAATAAATCATTTCTGTCACTCATTCTAGATGTATCCTAACTACTATAGTATTTCAGTCTGTTATTTATTTTTTGCAGCTAAGGTTTAGAATCATTTTATGGGGATACATTTGTTTCAGTATTATTGTTTAACTTCTATATTTTCTTCAGCTATTAATCACTTTAAAATGTGTTATTGTGACAGGCCTTGTACAAGACACAAGTAAATGTGTGTAACAATAAGAGGCACACACCCCGAGCTGGTTTAACATGTCCATGATCAGTCGAGTCGCCAGTACAAGCAAAGGGCGGAAAATGTTGAGTTGCTGCTCAGATGTGATGAAGGCGGGCAGGTCGAGATGGAGTCCTCTCTGGGCGATACAAGCGGTTCTGCAGTACTGGTCCCACGTGGTCTGAGCCACAGTGCGCAGTATGGCCCAGTGACTGTTACGATGCGCCAGCACCTGAAATGGAGTGTTTTTAAATATTGTTTAAAGGTGCACTGTGTAACTTTTCAACTGGGGGTCCGTCACCTGCTTGTTGTTATGGAGATGTCATTGCTCTGCCTGAAATGTTCCACTGTGTGACATTAAACAGCTTTACCTTACATTTATTCAATTACAGGTGGTTTATAGCTAAAAAATATCCAGAAAAACAGACATTCTGACTGTGAGCGGGGTCGCCTCTCCACAGATTTGACCTGTACCTTGGCCTCGTTTGGTCTCCATGAAGAAAGAAAGGTTTAATGCCATACAAGCAATAACATCTCCATGGAGAAAAGCATTTGACGGACTCTCCACCTTAAAAGTTACACAGTGGTAGGGCAACCAGATTTTCAAAACCAAAAACTTGTACACCTTGGACACCGACACACACTTGGACACACTTGGACACACTTGGACACACTTGGACACACTTGGACAGTTTGTGGTGGTTGGTAATAATAAAATTGTGAAACGAGTGCGTGATTAAGGAAAACATAATAAACATGATAAACATAAGTCAGTATAGTCACATTTTCTTTGTGTTTTGATCATTTTTAGCAGCTTTTCTGTATTATACCTAATCAAATAACAATGTGTGCCTCTCTTTACTGTTGGCAGGTGTCAAATTAGTGAAAAATAGGGAAATCAGGGACATTTCTTGTATAAAACTGGGACAAATCACTGGTTTTGGATAAATCTACTAGGACAGGGGACACAGGCTCAAAACTGGGACTGTTCCGGGTAAATAGGGACATCTGGTCACTCTACACAGTGGCCCTTTAAGTGTGAAAATGAAAAGTCTGAAGCACCATGGCTCGATGAAGATGAAGCGCAGCGTTGGTGAGTGAAACCAACATGGCAGCAGCAGTTTGTTTTTGCATCTCGTAAAGCACTTCAGGGTTCACAGTGGATCCATTTTCTTCATTGAGATCTGTCTGTGCTGGAAAATCAAATAAATAATATTACACATCCTATATATTACACAGAACTGACTCTTGTGAGCTTTTGGTCATGTTATATTACCTGGAGTTGTGTTTTGTTTCATTCACACATGTTTAATTAATCATTTATTATTAGTCTGTCTACATCTCCAAAGCTCAGAATACTCTGTTCCACCTTGTGATGTCATGCAGTGGTAGTTTTATTGTTAACTGCTACATTTTACCTTAAATTATCCAAACGATTCTAGTGAAGGTGTATGGAGTTTAAAAACACAGTGGAGCACTTCCTGTATTACCACATGACATCACAAGGTGGAACAGTGTTTTGTGTTTGAGAGAAGAACTCAGCCTAAATAGTTTGTGTGTTAAACATGTGTGAATGAAACAAAACACAATCAGAAAATCAGATCAGAAAATAGTGTAGTATGGACTTTTAAATACTGTTACATGTGGAGGATTCAGAAGTATAAAACATAACATACCTGGTGGTTCTCTCTCTGTTGTTGTGTCTCTCTGTAGTGTTGGGTCAGATCTAGATGCTTGCTGTTGCTGTGGGTTTTTCCTCATGCTCAGGGAGACGCCAGTGTACGCCATGGAGAAACTCAAAGGATCTAACTGGCTGTACCTGCAAGAAATATAAAGAGTGTGCAAGAGCTGAAGGGCTGGATTTGTTCACATTAGTGTATAACAGCCAGTAGTGTTTTAGTTCGTGACAAACCTGTGTAGAGGAGGTCTTTGCTGGAGCTGCTCCAGACCCTGGTAAAACAGGGCTAAATGTGCCTGAGCTACGACATAGTTGAGATTGGTCTTCCACACGCTCTCCTCACAGTACATCTGTCTGAGCATCACCTGCTTCCTAAAGCAGCTCATCTTCTTCCTAATCCACTTCTCACTGTGCACAACAGTTATACAGTAAATAGTAAAACAAGTCTATAATATACAATATAAGTTGAAGTTCTTGGCTTTTGGTTGAATCCTTGCCTTGCTTTTCTTTTTGCATCATCCTGAAAAAATAAAATAAAATAAAAAATACCGTCATGACTTTTATGCAGATCACACTATATTATATTTCCATATGTTAAAACAGCAGACATTTTCACACCTCATGTATATGAGCTGCTCCTTTCACCTTTCTGTTAAAGAGAAACATAATGTGTGATGTTTAAAAGTGTCACTTCACATATTTGTGATAAAAAATAAGCACCTCAGTAATTCAATAAAAGAGTTTCCCCACTCAATCACCAGAGCTGCCTCTCCTTCCTCTAGCGCCCTCTCCAGGAGCAGTGAGGATAACTCAATAAAGAGGGTTTTTTGTCTGAGCTTCATCACTGATGGAGAGCAGCACACACAAAGGGCATCATTACAGTAAATACAGGCATTTAAATCACACACTCACTGTTATTGTGTATGGAGCCTTACCTTCTTGAAAGACGTGTCTTATCGGAGCGCTTGATACAACATCATACATTTTGCTGTGATCTTCACTGAAAGTAAATTTACTTACATTCTCTTTAAAGACAAAATTGAGAGGTGAGAAGTTAGTCAATAAAAATATATATTAAACATCTGATGAGTCATACCACTGATCTTGATCTTTTTCTTTCCACGTAGAGCCTTCAGCTGGGGACTCATTTTCATCTCACACTTCTGTACAGAGGCTTGTTTTACCTACAGACATCATGTTTACTTTCAACTCAAACTATTGAAATGAATTCAAATATGTTCATAAACTGTATTTACCGATACAACTGCTTTGTTGATTTGTTCATTTTGTGCATCATAGATTTCCTGAATTAGATTGATGCCACAGTCCATCGTGACAGCGGCTTTCTCACTCTCATTAAGGTTATGCAATGCCTTATTTGGTTGATCAAAAATATTTTAGTAAGACTCGTTTTGTCTTTTAATGTTCTTAGTAGTGGACAGAAGGAATAACACAAAGCTGTCATCCAAACCTTGTAGAGATAGTACGTGATGCAGGCGATCTTTTGCATAAGAGCTTCTGAGGCGCTCCCAGTCCACTTGTGTTTGAGCTGATGAAGGTTTTTCTCAACAACATTCAGGCATTTAGTTAAAACCTAAGCCATACACATTATGACACAATCAGTTCACTAAATTAAAACTCTCAGAAAGGATCATTGGTCACCTGTATCACAGGGTCACATGGGATCTGATGGTAGATGAGAGGGCTCACAAGAGCATAACAAACTAGAACAGCTTGTACAGCATCACTGGGGTCAGTTAACCAGGATGTTAAGTCTATGGCCACCAGCATCCGCTCACACTCTTCTAGTCTGGCAACCTGCACACAGAAATGCAGAACAGTACACTCCCAGGTGAAAGGAGAATATGTGCACTGGTTACCTGCTCCCAAATAAACAGTCCTCTGTCACTAAACTGGTCAAACTGGAGAGAGGCACACTGCATGTTCATTTCTGTTTCAATGAATATGGAGGCAAAGACTGAATGGCGCAGGGCGAGTGATGAGTGACTCAGTGTGGTAACTTGCAACCTTTGAAAAATATATTTCATGAAGAAACATATAAGAAGAAAATGAGTTGCTTTCTTACTCTTACCTTGGGGTGAAAAGTTCATATTGCATTATGTTAGTTCTGGATTCAGTGGAAGTGAAGTGGCTCCAGACTTTCTGGCAGGCTGTCTTGGCTACATCATACTGTTTGGTCTGAAATGCCACCTGAAGAATTTCAATAGTTTACTAGTTTAGCCACATCCTAGAGAATTCCATGTCAAAGAGACTGTGTGGATACCTGTGCGAGGTAAGCCCAGGAGGTGAGCAGGGGCAGTGGAGGTGAGGCTAACAGTGGGATAGTGGTCTCCCCGACGCTGCTGCTCACAAGCTCCCCCTGACTGTTGTATGCAGCTACAGCAAACACATATTTCTGGTTTGGGTCTAAGCCCTCTGCCTTCAACACACATCTGTCAGATTCAGCAGAGATCTGAAAAAAAAACCCCAAAAGAACATGATTTCAGGAACAAACACACATTTTACATTGGATCGTACCAAACTGCCTGTTCCTGACAAACTGCAGTCTCCAAGTCTGACTTTGGTGTTAGTAGAATCCTCAGCAGCATGGCCCAAAAGCTGATACCAGCACACCTGTGATCAGGTCTTTAATGCATTAGTATTCTGAGATTATAATTCAATTCAAATCACAAAATATGTCTTACTTTTTCATTTGGGTTGTAGGGAGCAGGTACAAAGCTCAAAGAGTGATCTGAGCGTGATATTAGAACAGGTGGAGGTGGAGGGCAGTCTTCTTTATCCTTAAAGCCTCTGCGTTTGGATGATGATGATGATGATGATGATGATGCAGACTGACTGGTTGCAACAGTGGACATGTAGAGCTTTTTTTCTTCTGATCCCGCTCTCCTTATCAGTTCAGCAGACTCCTGGTTAAGCCACACAGTCAGCACAATACAGTGTACAGACGTAAATAAACATATTGTGTCTTTAAAGTTTTATGAACAACCTCTAGTAGGTTCTTGATGCTGGAGTCCATGTTATATTCCATTAAAGCAGTCTGCATCAGATAAACAGCTTTGTAGACTTTGTTTTTCTTAATTTGCTGAAGTATCTCAGACTCTGCAGCTATAATAATAATGAAAGAAAAATCATGAACTCATCTGCAATATGATTTTTACACAAAACTGTGTTAAATTCTGAATGTTATCTGACCTGCGTGATCATGCACCAAACCCAGAAATGCTCTATAATAAATGGCACTGAGATGAAAGTGAAGATCCACAACCAGCAGGAAGTCACCTCTGCTCCAAGTGTGTTTAGATGTTTCTACATGTGCAGAGCTATCTTCACTGTTTCCTTCTTCAGACGGCCAAGTGGATGAAGATATTCCATATTTCTGACAAAAAAAGAACAGTGTGTACTTTTACAGGATAAATAATCACCTACCTAAATGGGAATCAAAACATGGAAACTGGCAAGCATCAAACCTCGTATCGGTGAAAGTTCTGAATTTTTCTGATATCAACAACCATATTATTCAAACCGTACAATGTTTTTCTGCTTCTAATAAATACATAAGCCTGTCACGATAAACACCATATCGACTTACTGTACATGATATATCGAACAATTATTTTGGAGGTTCAGTATTCATTGTGGGGACTTTTTCTTTGTACTGGTGGGACAATTTTGGTTATGTTACTGTACTATGATAAGAGTTGAGCACTAGAAGGTTAAATTATGAACTTCTATGGCTCATTAAAGATACAAACTAATGATTGTTACTAGTGTTACTGTTTTGGTGTTCTGTGTTGTGTTCTGTATTTATTGCATGTTTTTTAACAATATTGTACATTTAGAGCACTTTATGGTTTGGTTTTTATATTATCGTTTATCGTCTATATTTACTTCAGAAATATATTACACTTGAAATGCTTTTATGACATGCTTACAATACATCAGTGCTGAATACATAAAGGTCATAAACATTCACATTCATGATCTACATTCAGCATCAGTAATAACTGAATCACCTCCATATAAGCCGTGTCGATGAGCGTGGATCCATCTTGAGGCAGCATTGTGCTCATTCCCTTGGACAAAATTACGAGACACTTTTTTACCACTGAACACACATTTTGAAGCAGTTGGATCCTGGAACTCTGACAAACACATACAACAATGCAGAGAGTCATCACAAATTCACTTTATTGTTCAGCTATGTTAGGATTTACCTTGCTAAGAGAGAGAGAGTTTACTATCCCAGCATCGCCTTCTGCAGCACTGACTTCTAGAGACAAGAACCACAGTTAACAACATCAACATCTTACAGAGGCACAATTGAGTGACGAAAATGGTTTAGGTTTTTTTTACTTGGAGAAGACTTTTGTTGAACCCCTTTAGAGGCACTTTCAAGGAGCATGGCAAACTTCAGTGTCATCTCTCCCGTCAGTAAACAATGGTGAGTTGTGCAGGGCTCAAAGGCAAAGGCCACTTCACACAGCACAGACACACACCAGGCCCACTGTGAATGTGTTCATGAAATGAACATGATGAATGACTATAACAACACCAAAAACAGACAAAAAATGAAAGAAGACCTTCTCCAACTTCTCTGAGTCTAAGTTAGGTCGATGGGCACAATCTATCACAGATGCTATTTTTTCCCAAAAAAACAATATCACAGACAAGACCAGATCTCTGTTCAGCTCCGAACCCTGTTTTATTAGAAAAGGTTTAAGGTCAAGTTTACTCAAAAACATAGATTATAATAATTCCACATTACTTACGGAGTCACAAACATATTTGTGCAGTGTTTTCACCAGTTCATTGAATTCCTCACTTACAGCCAATGTTACCTTCTGTTTTTCTGCTGGAGATAGATACAACAAGAATTTATTTATAACTCTTCAACTTCCACTGGAGAGCACCCATAGACAGTTTATAAAAGCATGTACCTTTTTGCACGCAGCTGTAATAATAAAGTAAACCCAGTTCCAGCTCTGCTGTTTCTGATGACAGGCCTTTCAAACACTAAAGATAGAGTTGATCAAATACATAGTGTGCTCAGGAGATTAGAAGCACATTTCTGATGCACAACTCTCACCGACAAAAGCTGAAGCATTTTTCTTGAGTACTCAGAAAAAGCCTCTGGCTGCTTGTTGTAATACAATAGTTTAATGAACTCCACGGCGGCCTCAAAGCATATCTTGCTTTCTCCTGGTGACACACACAGAATTGAACCCAAACAGAAAACATATCATGGTCATATAAAATTTAAATGAGAATGAGTTTACAAACCTGCAATAGCTAAATCTAGAAGTGAAGATGATGATGTGACTGCACAAAGAGATCCTGAGGACTGGCAGTCATTCTTTGGTTCACTTTCTGTTTCAAAAATACAATACAATACTTCAGGCTTTAAATATTAAATAACAGGTGGAATTTCCAGACGTTTATATTATTAATGTTTAACCCACCGGACAACAGACTGATGCCAGCAGCAAGAAGCTCTAGGACCACCTCTTGTCCCTCCAGGTACCCTGGTCCTCCTGCTGTTGGGAGGAGTTTCCTGCTGTCTCTCAGTGCCTCCAGAACAGCTAGAAACTGTGCTGCTCCTCCATCAAACAGGCTGGAGAGCATCTTTTCAGTTGTGGTACGTGGCCAAGGAGCCTGTATTACATAAGAGCAGATTGTGTTTTTGGTTATGTCTGGAAGTTTGAAGTGGATTATTTTGCATTCATTATATGAGACATTGGAGTTACATTTGGTATATCGGATAGATCCTTTTTTATTTTATATCGAAGCGTTTTAATCCTTGCTTCAAAAACAGCCCGCTTAAAAACCATTGTAACCAACTAAAACAGAGAAACATAAAATACATGTTAGTGCAACAGTATTTATCATTTATTGTATAATTTTAACACTATTGATACTGTGCAGTGACATCAGGCTGGGGGGGTTCTACATGCATCCTTAAGGGTAGAATGTTCAGCAGTTACCATGGAAACACATTGCACACATTAATAAGCACTGTCAAATTTCTTTTAAGATCTGAAAACTCAAGAAACCACATTTCAGGAGCCTCTGATCAATGTGAGCATTTGTGGTTTAGGTGATTTTCAACTAAACAAGTGAGAGTGATGAACTGCAATTCTATGTGTGAGAGGCTTGTTTAACAGCACAAATCAGCTCACGTGTTGTAGTTCCAACTAAGCCAGCTCTTTCAGGTCAAATTGAATTAATACAAAGCTCAGATTAAAGTCTAATTTGAGTAACAGAGTTTCAGACAGAATATGCCTATAGTTAGCATGTTGATGTCATCAGCTGCAAAGTAACAATATAATAATCTTTTTTGATACTGAAATAATACGTGCCTTGATCGATGCTTCTTTGTAGGCTCTTCTTGTCTCTTTGGAGGCTGGAATCCCACATTGCTCTTCTAATTTTAAAAGTTCCGTGATTTTTACAAGAGCTCGTCTGGCAAACACCTGAAGAAAGTTCGAGACATAAACAACACTTAAAAAATAATAATAATTCCTGGCAATATTGTCTCTACAGGCAATTTGTCCCTTTTGTGCAGCAGAACACTTGACACAACGACTGATTGTTGGCTAAAGAACATGGTTAAAGAAATACCTACCTCCCCTTTCACTGTGTCTTGGTTGTCATAGTAACACTGGCATACAGTACAGTACAATGTGACAAGCCATGGCACATTTTTACTTGTCATCAGTGGGACAGACAGCTCTATACTGATACTCGCCCACAAGAGGTAATCCAGCGCCTGAACAGAGAAAGAGAGAGGTTTTTTCTCCTGCTTTTCTTTTAAATAGTGTGTTTGGGAATTGTATTCATTATATCATGCAGCAATAAATATGAGGATGCTTGAAACAAGCAATGAAATTTTAAAAAATTAAGGCAAAAACCAAGTAGGTTTTATTACCACTTGGTTATAGTTATAGTCTGCATTGATTATACTTTAGATTCTTGTACAGACCTCTATTTATGTATCTCAGTCTTTCGGTTTCTGCTGCTCAGTGAAAAGGAAACAACCAAAACATGGACCTAAGCCACTAAGAGACAAGCCCACCAAGAACAACATAAGTCGGCAATATCAGACCACTGCAAGAGGGAAAATCATCTCATGGACTGGGACAACGCTAAGGTCATAGGCACAGAGAGCAGCCAGTACCCTCACTGGATCAGGCCATTAAGATATGGGAACACGAACACTGGAAGCGTACCAACTCTGTCAGCGGGACACAGTTCTGAAGAAGGCAGACTACAGGTTTGTCGTCTCCTTACTTGGAGCAATAGGATGACAGTGTCAAACTTTATTTAAATTAGCTGAGCAGACACGTCACAGCAAAGTCACATTACACTTCTGAGGAAGTCAAGGTATGAAATAAATAGAGGTCTGTACATGAGAATCTAAACTATAACTTGGTTTTGATTGTTAAGCCTTAAGACAGTGGCTGTTACCACAGACCTGTGCACTGTAGTTGTTTGTCATGAGGTACAGACAGATGTTGTAGATGAGAACTGAGCCTGCAAAACAGATGACATGAGACCTCATACACACGTACACATCTTACTTCAAAGAATTCATACCATTATACATTTGCCAGCACAGGCCGTCGTAATGCTGAAAAACTTGCATAATGATTTGAATAAGATTCAGCACACAGAGCAGTTTACAAAGACCATCAGGAGTGAGGTCATGATGAGCCTTCACCTGTTCAAAAGTGCAGAGGGCACAGCCATACAGCGCCCGGATCTGTGCACATAAACAAAGGGTATCTTGACATGTATTAGCATATTAAAACTACTATATGATGCAAATTGACTCTTGTGAGACTTAAGCCAAATTATGTTGTTACCTCCACACAACATACCAGGAGTTGTGTTTTTTTCATTCACACATTTGACCAACACTTTATTATTATTACTCTGTGTAACCTTCAAAGCTTAAAATGTTCTTTTCCACGTTGTGATGTCATGTAGTGGTAGTTTTCAAGTTAACAGCTATGTTTTACCTTGAGTTCAATAAAGATTAGTTCAATAGAGATTGGCAATTCCAGGTCTGAAATTATCAAAATTATTCCAGTGAAGGTGTAAAAACACCGTGGAGCACTTCCTGTATTACTACATGACATCACAAGGGCAGGGTGTGTGTGTTAAACATGTGTGAATGAAACAAAATCCAACTCCAGGTCTGCTGTGATGATTAAACAACATTATAACAGAACAGACCGACTTTACCTTCATGAGAAGAGCGTCTTGGTCTGTGTCCAAACCTTTAGGGAAAAGAGAAGCTTTGAAGTGGTCTACGTCTTTAAAGTCAAGAATGTCCACTGATGTGAACTGCTGCACGTGTGGTCTGTAGCCATACCACAAGGCCATGTCATAGAACTGCACAAAGGACAAATGATGAGACATGACTCAAGGCTGAATGCATCAATAGGCCTTTAAAAAATACAATAATAAATACAATATTGATACTTTGCAGCTAATGTCATCAACATTCCCTGGGGGTGTGATTAACTGTAGGCACTGCTCGGTGTGAAGCTCTCAAGGTAGAGTTTTATTTTAACACAATCTGAGCAGAAAGAGCTTATTAACTGGAACTACAACACATGATCACACGTCTCACACATCTCACACATAAAATTGAAGTCACAAACTAGCTAGCATTAGCCAATAGTTTTTCAGTTAGTCACTCTAACCTTTTTGTTAAAAATCAAACACCTAAAAAGTACCATGAATGCTGGGATGGATCACAGATAGGGTGATCAGATTTTCACTCCCCTGGTTTGTGGTGGTTGGTAATAACAAAAATGTAAAATGAGTGAATAATTAAGGAAAATTATTCTGCATTTGCTGGGACAGGGGACACAGGGCTCAAAAATAGGACAGTCCAGGTTAAATAGGGACGTCTGGTCACCCTAATCACAGGCTTTTGAAAATATGCTCTTTACATCTATTGTGTATTTTTTTTCTTGAGTTTCAGAGAATCTTAAAAAAAACAAACAAACAAAAAAATTCTGGCCAATGTGTGCATTCTCTCACCACGCTAATTTATAATAAATAAGAACATTCCACTATGTCAAAATACACCCCCAGCCTGATGTCACTGCAAAGTATCAATTCTTTTGTTACCTTTATTTGAAACAGCACATCTGCCACCTGTAACATGTGGTCATGATAGAAGCTAGGCGGAAGTCTACTTTTGTACTTTTTCCATATTTCCACACATATTTTAATCCTACAAAAACATCAGGAGAACGTGAAAGGAGATTTAACTAAGGCAGAATGTATGAAAGCCAGTGTTTTGTTTTTCTTGTTGAACTCTAACTAACTAACATTTCTACTCAAATCTTATTAGATGCACCCAAAGCCATTAGGCCATTCTTTGGATTATTTTATCATTGGATCAGTTTGTGTTGTCTTGGAAAAAAAAAAAAAAGTTATATTTTTCCTAGAATGAAATGTGCTGTGCCATCGTTACCCTTTAACGTAAGCAGTGTTGTCCTCTCGTGCGGGCGAAGAAGCGAGTTTCTTCATAACTGCTATGAACGAGTTAATCTCTCGTAAAAAAGCTATTACCACAGGGTTTCTTTTGTCAAGTTTCCCGTAATACGTAGCCGGTAAATCCATATGTTCGTGTTCGAGATCAAAGCATTCTGAATCAGGAGCACGTTGTTATGAAAGTATTGACCACGGTCAAGCGTCGTTGCTAGTCAATGTTGCTAAGGTGTATCACCATGGTAACAAAGTCATCTTCACCATCCCGGAAGTAAAGTCAAACTAAAATAAAAATAATAAAACATAACATACATAACAAGATAACTTGAAATAACAGAGTGCGTCCATATACAACAATTAAGCATTTGAGGGAAGTATAAACAAATTAATAACTCAAAATAGAAGATACAGTATATTTTACACACATGGGCTCAAAGGAACAAAAGAAAAAAAAGAAAGCAAAACACTACATATCTGATTTATTTATTTATTTATTTAAGGTTTGGGTAGATTTTTTTATTTTATTTGCTGTATTATGAAGGTATTGAGCATAGACTGAAGCAAGCTTATAGATAAAAATGGTTTAGTCTTTTTATCCAACATCATGTAATACAGACATTTCCATTATATTTTCCAATTTATTATTTAAGACTATTAAAGACATAAAGCGTGACGATATAAACCTACCATAAGGTTAACGTAGTTGAGTGGTAAAACTGAAAACAAAAATGGTCAAATAGCGCCACCTTCTGTTTAAAAGACAAAGCAAAGTAGACCGGAAACAGTCTCCAAATCGCGCGATATTAAATTCAACGAGAGTTCAGCCCGTTCTTTTCCTCCGGAGCATCAGGCAAGATGGTAGGTATCTGAGCCACTGGGACATGAATTAATGAAATCTGTGAGCATCTAGGGTTTTTACAGACCTTAGAAGCTGACTGTCTACATATTCCAAGAGTTATTAATGTTCGAGTGGAATACGATGTTGAATTTCTGGCCTTAAATTGAGATGTTTCGAATAAATACTGTTAGCAATTTGTGTCAGTCGTGGCTAAGCTAACCGGCGGGCCTGGTTGTGTGTACAACCATTTTCACTTATTTTTACAACTAACCGTAACATACACAATATGCTTCTATTCGATACATGTTTATAGTCGTAATGTATGCAGAGATCATAATTGTACATTCTGTTAATGAGCCCATTGACGGAGGTTGTCCCATGTTTTCCAGGCGGATACCGAGATCAAGAAGAAGCGTACCTTCAGGAAGTTCACCTACAGAGGAGTGGACCTGGACCAGCTCCTGGACATGTCCTAGTGAGTCCGAGTCCCTGTCCTGTTTTTACTCCCACTGGTTATGTGATAAACTGTTGAACTTCTGTTGTGAACTGGTGCTACCTGAGCTTGAGCTAGCTTTGCCCAAACACCTGCCCACTTTCCAAAGTCAATAGATTGCTATATTGACATGACAACTGCACCCCCTAATTGCAAGGTGTTTAAAAATATTGCATGTCAGGTGTTTTGGTTGGTGGAGTTTGGCTTGCCACACATGTCACAATCCAACATTTGTTGTAGATGCATTCATTGCATAATTGAAATTCATAACAAGTGTGAAAAGCTTAATATAGAAAAATAAAAAAGTAATGAAATATTTTGTTTTTGTGCAGTGAGCAGCTTATGCAGCTGTACTGTGCTCGTCAGAGGAGGAGGTTGAACCGTGGTCTTCGCCGTAAGCAGCAGTCTCTCCTGAAGCGCCTGCGCAAGGCCAAGAAGGAGGCTCCCCCCATGGAGAAACCAGAGGTGGTCAAGACCCACCTCCGGGACATGGTCATCCTGCCTGAGATGGTCGGATCCATGGTTGGCGTGTACAATGGAAAGACATTCAACCAGGTTGAAATCAAGGTGGGCAAATGAACATTCTTGAACATCTCCCCATTTAAAAATCATTGTAGATTTATGGGTGTATGATATTGTACAGTACAAGGGTAACTGATGCACTTAAGGCTTATAGCCACAGACCAGTGTGCAGCCTCATTTATGTGTGCAGTGAGACTAGTTTGCATTCCATAAAATGTTTGGAACAACAGTTGACAAGGGTGCACTTGGATTATATGTAAACAGAATTGTGTCAGTTCCTTCAATAGTATGAATGCAGTTCTGATGAAAATTTACATTAATAGAAACATTTATTGAATAGGAAATTGACACAAATAAGGGTATTTGTTTTTATCAAACCCAGAAACTGTTCAGTGTCATTCCAGTATAAAGCTCTATCAAACACTGTGGGGCATGTGCACTCTGCACAGGCTTTGAGCTGTTGGGCTTCGTTCAGCCACAAGAATGCCAAAGCAGTAAAAGTGATGAGTGGCTCAGAATTCCCTCACAGCACTGTGGAGATGGCAGAGGTGCTGTGGTACTCTGGATTAATTCCTGGAAAACTGCAACAGCACAGCCGTGCATGTGAAGTGCACTAAACGCTGCTCACACACCGCAGTCGTTGCTCTGGATTCTGAGCGAGGCATTAAGTGGGCAAACATTTGGCTCATTACAGTTCTTTTTCTTTGTATTGTCACTGTAGGAATAAAAATGTCTTGAACTTTTAATGATTTACTGATTTATGAACTGCTCTTAAAGCCTTGTTATTTTCCCCCCACAGCCTGAGATGTGTGGTCACTACCTGGGCGAGTTCTCCATCACATACAAGCCTGTGAAGCACGGTCGTCCTGGTATTGGTGCTACACATTCTTCTCGGTTCATCCCTCTGAAGTAGAATGGCTGTTTTCTTTGTATAAATAAATTTTGGTGGTCCAAAATGTCTTTTGTCGATGCTTTTCACATGGCTAGGCCACAATCAGTGTTGGGGAGTAACTAAATACAAGAACAGACATATTAATACTAAATTTGTGCAACTGTGTTTCAGTACAGTTATTTTTTCACTTGGTGGTATTTTAGAAGTTGTTTTTTTTGTTTAATCAAGGGAAATTTTAGAGTTTGAATTGCACAGTATTGGTGAGGAATTGTTTTTTTTTTTTTAATTTGAATTTTTTATTTATTTTTTAACCAGTACAATTCAACTGTGCAGAAGTATTCCAAGTATTCAGAATACAGCAGTCGATTGGTTGTTGTATCAGAATGTTACAAAATGGATCTTAATGCAGGTATTCTATAAATACATTTTCAAAGTATTTTTCCCTGTCACTGTTCACAATAGTATAGTTTTATATTGTCAATAATACACGCGAGATGAATAAACCATTAAAAATCGAGCTACGATCATGCCATGTGGGAATAATTTAAAACAAGTTATCATGGATTCCATTAGTTAACAGGCTATACATCTATCAGTGACTGAGTGTTAATGTAGGTTGGCGTCATCCCAGACACCTGACGCATAATGCCAAGATATTGGGAGCTGTTATGACCAACACTAAAGATGCAAAATAAAATTTGTTAGAAAGGTGACTTGGGACTTAAAATATGCACAATACCAGTCTTGCACGTAGTAGAGGAGCATAGATCCATGATCCAGTCCTGCACACACGTTATTTGAATAGATCTATGTGCACACAACAGAGGAGCATAGATCCTTGACAGAGTCATTCACAGAGCAGAGGAGCAGCTGAGCAGCAGCTGTCGTCGAGTAAGTGCCACACTAAAACATTCCGGCACAAACACCTCTCCACACAAGGTTCCTCTTGCTTCCGTCCGGTGCTCGCTGCTGCATTCTGGAGCGGCCGCTGTGGGCCATGGAAGCAGCCTTTAGCACGCGTCTCATTTGCTCTGTCACACCCAGTTAAACAAGTCCCGGCCATCATTAGACTAACAGCGGTCGCATTGGTAAGTGTTTTGTCCATGTTTATATTTTCCAAAAGATTCCGTCAACTATAGGTCTGTTTTTCTGACAAGAAACCTCCGAATCGCTAGCTAGCGCCCGGCTAACATTTTTGCGCTCTCAGAGGCTAGCAGCAGTTAGCTGGAGTGAAATAACAGAAAGCAGCTGTCCTGTCAAAGCCAGCTAAGCCTCTGTTCACCCCGGCCGCTCCTACACTGCTGTCAACAACTATGACATCAGATTTAGCTCTTCATTTCTGCTTTTCGACCACACTTAACATGTTTTCTTGACTATTTTTCACCTGAGACGAATTTGCCGGGTTCTTTATATAGTGGAGAACAAAGATAAGAGCTAGCAGGCAGTGCTACTACTTCTCCAACACTGAATCAACTGATCCACACCCTTTACTGTTCACTGGTCAAGTAGCGGACCTCAGGGCATGTACAGTGTCATGTACTAAACCTTTGTCAGTGTATACTAACACCAGACACTATGGCCACATACAGATTTGTGCGTTTCTCTCTTTAGTTTGTCAGCTTAGTAAAAAGTGACAGCTCAGAGCGGCTCCCAGCTGTTTACATAAAACCATTCATTGATAATAATAAGGCTGATAATATTACATAACATTTGTATAGCGCTGTTCAAGAGACCCAAAGACGCTTTACGTAAGGAAACCAACACAACAAAACAAAACACCGTTTCACTTTCACTCACGGGACCAAGGCTTCTATCTGTGCGTAGATTAGTTAGTTTTAGCTACTATCTGTGAATTTCATTAACTTTTTAAGAATTTCATTAACTTTTTATACTCCTTTTAAAGTTAATCGCTACAAATATGTATTTTTCATTTGTATACTAACATTTCAAACTTGATTTAGATACTAAGGAATTCACTCAATACTCGTTAACACAATAAAGAAAAAATGCTTCTGTTTTAGCAATAGAATGTAATTTTCATTCACAAAATAATACAGTTTTCTTTATGTTACTGTGGCATCTTATGTTTATTCTGTTAAAGCTCTAAATCATATGAAACTGAAAGCTTAAATTGTTAATGTTAATGTAATTTTGATTTTCTGCTCAAATGAGGATTGAGTCATTTTGATGTTAGTTTTATCATTGATTTAGTATCTGATTTTCCATACATTTGACGACCGTAATTAAAATATATTTACTGAATGTTGTCTTCCTATGACCTCTTGTATAAAGCTGAGATTTTCTATTTTATTTCGACTTGGACATTTACATTTATATAATTATTTCTTATTTCACACCTGTCTCTTACTATCCTTTTTACTTCTTATTTAAAATGTATTTTTACCATTTATATTTTTTAATCTTTGTTATTATAATATATTGTGATGTGTGAGCTACTGTGTCCAATTATTTTCCTTTGTGGATCAATAAAGTTTGTCTAAGTCTAAATGTAGTTGTGGTGAGAAAGCAAGCTACTATTGGAACATATATGTGAATAACTTTTGGGGGGGAATATACTGTGTATATAGTTTTTTTTTGTAATCTAGACTCATGTATTTGTTCCTGCAGAGTCAGCGAGGAGTGTCAACCAGTGAATGCATAGAGTTAAGAAGGTGAAACTTTGTGACAAATCAGAAGGCATTTGGAAAAGGTACAGTATATGATTGTATGCATTTTTAATAGATATGTTTTAGATTGGAGGGGAGACCAAACCTAGATACTCTGTTAAACATTGTTGTAGAAATGGCTGTGTGAGTGATGACATTTTTATTATTATCAACTAAAGATGTGGTAATATCGAATTGTCAATGATTAGCTTGGGTTGTTTGAAAACACGTGGAGTTCAGACTTTGTATTTTTTGTTTTGAATGGCAGATGATTAAAAGTCTGTTTTTGTTTAAAGGCATAAAAACATGAAAAACTGAACTAGTTCATGTTAAACAGTTCTCAGAGGTCCAAAGTTATTCCTCACTTACGCATTCAGAGCATCCTAAATATTTCCCATGATGAGTTTATAAGCGCTTTTCACAACTTCACAACTTTCACAACAGAGATCTGAGCCGAGTTTTGCCATCACTGTGGAGCTAGAAACATCTGGCATACAATTTGGCTACGCACTTCCTGATTCTCAGACAATAAAACGCTTTATAATTAGATGCAGATAGTGCACAGATGCATAATGCCGTATACCTGACATCACGTATATTTGATGTCTTCTGTATGTATCTAAAATGCAGAAAGTAATAGAGATCAAGAGTGATATGCGTTTTTTCAAGGCCAGTGTTGATACAAATATTTTTGAGCTGATTTGGATTATTTTTCCTAATTATTATACATTTATCACAAACTCCCCCAAACCCCTTTTCATCAAAAACATTTATCTCTAAGTATTCAAGTGTTCATAGAAAGCTTTGTGTGATTTTTTTTTTTTTTTTTTTTAGGCAGAAAATTAACCAAAACAAAATCTCAGTTTATGATGGAGGTTTAAGGATGACACCTGATATGCTAAAAAGTCAAAATATTGGCCTAATATATCAGTATCTCTAAGTAGTAAACACAAAGATAAAACATTGAATGAGAGGGTGTGTTCAAACTGTTGACTGGTAGTGTACATATATATATATTGCCCATCCCTAGTTGTAGATATGTGTCTGGAGTAACAGCTGTTCCAATTCACTTTATTTCTATAGCACATTTTATAAACAAAGACTGTTTCCAAAGTGCTGTACATAGAATTTTTTTTTAAAAAGCTGCAATTTAAAGATGCATTGTGTAATTTTCTGGTGGAGGGTCCATCAAATACTTTTCTTCGTGGAGATGTTGTTGCTTTGTCTGGAATGTTTCACAGTATGGCATTAAGCCTTTCCGTCTTCATGGAAACCAAACCAGACCAAGTTACAGGTCAGGTCTGTGGAGAGGCGACCCCACTCCCAGTCAAAATGTCTGTTTTTCTAAGTCTTTTTGAGCTATAAAACCACCTGTAATTGAATAAATGTAAGGTAGAACTGTTTAATGTCATACTGTGGAACATTCCAGGTAGAGCAATGACATCTCCATAGTAACAATGCACCTTTAATATAATAAAAACATAATAAAAACAACGGTGTAGAAACAAATATATAATAACAATAATAAACCTCCATGTTGTTGTGCGTTTGCAGCTGTGTTAGCGTAAACATGAGCGGAGTGGACGGGCTGACGGACAGCACAGAGGTGGTGGATATGGAGGATGTACCGTCACAGTTCTTTGTGGAGAAGCACTCCTGGGACGGGCTCCGGGACATCATCCACTGTAGCAGGAAGTACTCTGGGATGATCGCCAACAAAGCCCCTCATGACTTCCAGTTTGTGCAGAAGAAGGACGACAACGGACCCCACTCACATAGGCTATACTACCTCGGTAAGATGGCTGCTTTACTTTACTGATGATTTTCAGATTTCATGGCAGGAAATCTTCAAATAGACCCTAATAGCAGAGGAAACGCATAAAAAACCTGGCATTTGTTTAAAATACCCTGCTTGTAGCCTGTTAAACCGTATCGTCACATCAGATTTATATACATTTGTAACCACAAATCAATTAACTATATTTTAATGACAAAATAAACAAAACGTTCACATTGGGTACACAAAATATTACAATATCTGTACACGAATTTAACAAAAATGTACCTTATGCCTCTTCAGAGGGGTAACTAATGTAAAAACCATATGTTGCTGCTTTGTCTTGATTATTTTACAGCATGGAAATAAACTTGATTACCACAATGGAGGGTAATGGTCAGATCTATGGAGAAGCAAGCCTACACATAGTAGCATAGTATTCATGCTTTTCAAGGTATTTTTGAGCTATAAAATGCCTGTAATAGAATAAAATCCTTTCCAGACATGTTTAATGCCATACAGTGGAACATTCCATGCAAAGAAATAACATCTTTATGGAGACAAGCAAACAGTGGACCCTCCAATTTGTATCTACAATGTAATGAGTCAGAGAAGTTCATAATTCAACCTTCTGCAGCTCAAATCTCATCGTAGCACAGAAAAATAACACACTAGTACATATAAAAAGTATCCACGATAAATATTGACCCCTTGAAAATAATTTACTTGTAACCAATACTTGTCATGTATTGGAACGATAAGTCCTTGTAGTAGTTATTGTGACAGGCCTAAAATCAGTCAAGGTAATGTATTGTGGAAAAACTGGCTAATAACAATTTAAGCTCCCTCCATGTCATAATTGCATTTCTGCTGTTCACGTTTGAGTGGAAAATCGATTTTTTTTATCTCATTTATTTAGTGAAATGTCTAGCCACATTTCACAACTTTGTACCCGTCTTGTTTGTAATGGAGCCATTCCCAGTATCTACACTACAGTGTTCTTGAATAGTTAAAGATGCATGTAACTTCTACGGTGTAGGGTCTGCGGCTTGTTTGTCTCTATGGAGATGTTAGTTATTTGCCTGGAATGTTCCATAGTAGGGCATTAAACTTATCTCCCTTACATAGGTTCAATTACAGGTGTTCTATAACTCAAAAATACATTAAAAAACATGAATTCTTATCATGAACAGCCTTGCTCCTCCATAGATCTGACCATTAACCTGTCTCCATTGTGATTACTACATTTATTTCCATGCTGTGAAATAATCCAGGTAAAACAGTACCATCTCCAAGGAAAGTTGCACCTTTAACACACATCACATGAAAACAAAACTTTTAAATGATATTGTTAGTCTTAGGCTTGCAAGATTAATCAAAATGTCACCTTTTGGTACAGGATCTGTCACCTGCTTGTTTCAATAGAGATGTCACTGCTCTGCCTGGAATGTTCCACAGTGTGACATTAAACAGCTCTACCTTACATTTATTCAGTTACTTGTGGTTTTATAGCTCAAAAATACCTCGAAAGGTCGTCTCTCCTCATAGATATGACCTGTAACTTGATCTGGTGTTGTCTCCATGAAGATAGAAATGTTTAATATCAAACTGTGAAACATTCCAGACAAAGCATAATATTTCCATGGAGAAAAGCATTTGACAGCCCCTCCACCAGAAAAGTTACACAATGCATCTTTAATTTTCTCTCCATACTAAAAATCTTATTCGGCATAAAAATGGCAAACCCTGTGCTTTAGATCTGTACAAACCTGTTCTGAAATGTGATTCTTGTGTTAGTTTATCGGATTATATTTCAGTCTTTTTCTCAATTCTTCTAGACAACTTTAAAATGTAACTTAAACAAAGAATGAAAATGAAGCGTAAGCAATGTCAGTGCTGTAACACTGAAAAATTACAAGTAGATATTTGTTTTATTTTGCAGCCCTATGTTGGGCGTGTGGCAACTTTCAACTGTAAACTATCATTATTATTGTTATTATTATGTCAACTCAACTGCTTGACGCATTCACAAAACCTTTAATTCTATGATGGCGTCCGTCCACACAGTAATTACACCAGATGTTATCATTACTGTGTACCGAGTTGTGTTCATTATTGACTTGGGAGTCTGTAAACAGCTTTTGTCTCACATGTAGGGGTGGAAAGGGCACTGAAAATTTGTACTTAAGTAAAAGTGGTTACATGGCTAATAGGGATGGTACAAGATCTCATGAGACAAAATTGCCACAAGATCGTGCACACAAGAGAAAAAATAATCTTTTTGATTTTTTTCCAAGTGTTAATATTTGGATGGGACAAAAAGGGGTTGGTGAGTTTCATCTCTTACAGTTCCAAAAAGCAGTACTAAAATGGAGAGAAAACTATTAAATTAAATAAATAACTAAATTGTGAGGCCAAAATTGGAGACTGAACTGTGAAATGTATATGTATGTATATTAGGAATTATGTTAAAAAACTTGTCTTGTTCTTGTTCTTCCCATCCCTAATGGCTAATAATGTTACAAGTAAAATGTTCACACCAGTCAAAGTACTATTTACTAGTTACTTTTTAACAGTTTTAGCATTTTAGTAAACCATAATCTGCATACTTTCTGAACTCTGGCCAATGAAAGCTAGCGAGGCGATACTGTTCTGTGTTGGTGGATGTTGGTACTATGCACTTACATCATGCGGGGGTGTTCTACATGTATGGTGAAATGTTCAACAGCTACCACAGTGACACAGTGCACACATTAGCAAACACTGTCAAAAAAGTTTTAAGATGGTCTGCTGGAAAGTCAAGAAGAAAACAAACACCTTTTCATTAGTGCTCAATACGAGTTCATGGTCCTGTTTAAGAGTTTGGTTTTCGAGAGTTTTCCAGAGAGTGAGAGAGAGCAATAAAAAATAAAAAAAAGCTTGTGATTGTAATTTTATGTGTGAGAGACTTGTTTAACAGCACAAATCAGCTCACCTGTTGTAGTTCTAAATAAGAGTTATTTTCTGGACTTGAGTTAAATAAAGCTCAGATTAAAGTCTAACTTGAGTAACAGAGCTTCAGACAGAGCAGTGCCTCTTGTTAGCATTGGCCCACCAGAGAATGTTGATGAGCGAGCTGCAAAGTATCAATAGAAAGTAGCAGAGATAAAATTGGATTGGGATTTGTACAGTACTCAATAGCTCCTGTGATTAATATATAACTAACTACAATTACATGGATAGAATAACACCCACTTAGAGTTTAAAAGTACAAATTCTACTTAAAGTAAAACAACCCAAAATCTACTCAGATATAGTAACATGAGTATTAGGGGTTTGCATAGTGAAATATCAATACATCTTGATACTACAGCTGTTATTGTGAACTGTTGTATCAATATATCACCAAGAGTATTTTTTTAATATTTTACTAAATTATTTTGTGACATTTCTACAATTTTGATGTTTGTCCAGTGAAAGTAATCATGTTCATGCAATACACTTGATGTATTCTCCTGGTTACATCTGGTTTAACAAAGAAATATTGTTAAAGGTGCATTGTGTAACTTCTTGGTTTGGGGTCCGTCACCTGCCATTGCTCTACCTGAATGTTCCACAATGTGACATTAAACAGCTCTACCTTACATTTATTTAATTTCTGGTGTTTTTATAGCTCAAAAATACCTAGAAAAACAGGCATTCGACTGTGAGCAGTGTCACCTCTCCATAGATCAGATCTGTAACTTGGTCTGGTTTTGTCTCCATGAAGATAGAAAGGTTTAATGACATACTGTGAAAGTTTTCAGAAAAAAACAATAACATTTTCATGGTTTGACAGACCCTCCACTGCTCTTTAAAATGTATTTGGTTCTTAAAAATAGTGATACGTGTATTGCATTATCATATGTATAAAATATATCATTATCAAATCGTGAGGGACCCAGTGATTCCCAGCCCTACTGAATATTATTTGTATTTGTTTCTTTCCACCATGTCCACCTGTTTGCAGTATACACACAGGCATGTTTGTTGTGTTAACTCTGAGTGCGTCTGTTCTCAGGGATGCCTTATGGAAGCAGAGAAAACTCCCTGCTCTACTCAGAAATCCCCAAGAAGATTCGCAAAGAGGCCCTGCTAGTTTTATCCTGGAAACAAATGCTGGACCACTTCCAGGTCAGTAGCGTTTGCGAACATCCGTGTTTTACTCACTGAAGTTTGCAGTGTATTAAATATTTGTTTTCAGATTAGATGTGTGTGGGGATACTGTTTGATTTTAAGTGGGATAAAACACATAAACATTCAGTTGTGAAAGATATAAATGGACTCTTTATCCAGGGCTGGGCAGTATGGGATTTTCTTTCTGACATATTGATTGATTCCATTTTATTTAGTCTTTTCAAACACAAAATTAAATTGTATTGATTTCATGAACATAATCTGAATTCCAAACCACATTTTGCTGCTAAAATCTGATATAAAGTTGATATAAAGAAATGTTCAATGTTCATGTGACCAACAAGGCAACACTCTGTTTCACATCAAAATGTCTTTTTTGATGGGTTATGATGGCATACATGTTCAGAAATTTCATTGAAAACCAATACTTTTTATAATTTGAGGCCAATTCAGCAGGAGGCCTTGGGGCCAATAAATATTCTTCTGAGGCCCACATTTGACCCCGGGCCATAGTTTGGACACCTTTCTGTTAGCAGAAAATAATACAACCTAAATGACAATGGCAGGTCATTCCAGAAGGTGAATAGCAAGTTAAAAAAAATGGGTGCAGCCTTTACTGGCCCCTTCAGACTATTTTACACCTGCATCTTTTACTGTTCTAATAATATTTGAAATACATTTGTGGAAAATGGTGGCTTCCTTGTACAGTAAGTGTGAATGGCTGTATATATTTAGCAGTGTCCTGTAAAGAGCCTGTGTCGGAGCTTCACTGTTGAGCCCCTCATGTTTGGACCAGGTCACCATGACAGGGTCAGACTTCTGAGAATACTCATGTCCATCACACATCCTCTCACACAGGAGCCAACACGCACTGTGACTCGTACTTCATTAGTGACTCTGCTATAAAATGTGAAGGAAAAGTGAAGGGGCATCCTCAGTCTGTACTATTGTGTTGGGTTTGCTTATAGACGCTATTTTCTGATCTATATTAGAATGTAGTTTCCCCATCACAAACAGACCTGGAGTTGTTTTGTTTCATTCACACATGCTTAACACAAACCCTGTATATTTAGGCAGTGTTCTTCTCTGAAATGGAAAACACTCTGTTTCACCTTGTGATGTCATTTGGTAATACAGAAAGTGCTCCACTGTATTTGGATAATTGCAGCCATGGAATATCCAATCTCTATTGAACAAAAGGTAAACGATAGAACAGAGCATTTTGACTTTTACAGATGTAGACAGACTAATAATGCAGGATTAATCAAACATGTGTGAATGAAACAAAACACAACTCCAGATATCTTTTTGATGACATAACGACATTCTAGCATGGCTTAAATCTCACAAAAGTCAATTTTGCATATTATAGAACCTTTTAAGACAATTCATTATGGGCTTTTGTTACATAGATATTGGACTGTGTATGGACTGAATCTGATCTAAACTGTGACTCTCGTATCTCTTTGTCTCAGGCCACGCCACACCAAGGAGCTTATTCCAGAGAAGAGGAGCTGCTGAGGGAGCGTAAAAGATTAGGAGCGTTTGGGATCACGTCGTACGACTACCATCCCCAGACCGGCCTGTTCCTCTTCCAGGCCAGCAACAGTCTCTTCTACTGCCAAGACGGAGGCAACAACGGCTTCATAGTCAGTACTTAGACTAACTTTATTGATCTACAAAGGAAATTATTTGGACACATTAACTCACACATCACAATATATTAGAATAACAAAGAGAAAAGTATGAGTGGTATAATAAATTCTAAATAAGTAGCAGAAATAGCAAGAGTAGCAACACTTTTTATCGTTATCAGTTATTTTAGTTTTAGGGATAGTCTGAGATGATGTCTGACATTTCCCTTGTTGTGACCAATTGATAATTGTAGTGACATCATGCTGGGGGGTTCTGCCTGTGTGTCTAAGGCAGAATATTAAGCAGTTACCATGGTGACACAATACACACATCAGCAAACACAGCCTGATGAGTTTTAAGAAAAACATACAAAATGGATTTAAACAGCAGGTTTCAGGAGCCTGTGGAAAACAAAGCTCAGCTCAAAGTCTTAATTTGTCTAACTTGAGTAGTAGAACTTCAGACAGAGCAGTGACTCAAGTTAGCTTCACTTGAGGCACTAGATGTCTGGAATATCTAGAAATTGACCAATATGTTTTTTTTTTTTTTTTTCTTTTATGGCCAATGTTCTGACGATATTTTTGGCCCAGTGTATAGGACAGATTTGAATAATTTTCCCCAAATTTTGTGATTAAAATATACTACCAACTCACCCACAGCCCTTTTTTTTTTTTTTTTATCACAGACCTATAAGAAAGCTGTTCAGTCACGTTTTTGCAGTTATCTCTTCACACTAAAGCATTCAAATTGAGCCTTACACTCTTTAGGCAGCAGATGGACCATAACACAATATTGGATAAGCTGGAGATTTAAATATATATTGCTCCACTTCTGGTTCATAATCCAAAAGAGTCTTTGTTTTAAAACTAGTCCCATCTAACAGTTATTGTTGATGTTTTAGCAGTCTGCCCCAGTCAAGCCTGTGGAGATCAAGACTCAGTGCACGGGGACGCGCATGGACCCCAAAATCTGCCCCGCCAACCAAAACTTCATCGCCTTCATCAACAACAACGACCTATGGATAGCAAACATTAAAACCGGGGAGGAGAGGAGACTAACTTTCTGCCACAAAGGTTAGTCCTGGTTAAAGGTGCAAAACTGACTCCTATGAGCTTTTAGACATGAATATAATATATAGTTAGAGTTGTGTTTTGTTTCATTCACACCTGTTTAAGTAATCGTTATTATTACCACCTTATGTTGTCATTTAGTAGTAGTTTTAAGGTTGAGGTTGTCTCTAGGTTCCATGCAAAGTCTATGTGGACGCACATCCAGAGCGTTTGCGTCAGAAGTTGTAAAAGCTGAACTTTTAGCATCTTCAAATAATCAGGGACGACTATCAGTGACATAGTGAAGTTATTACCCAGATGAGGGAGAAGAAAGAGAAAGACCCAAGAAATTTACAGCATGTCATGAGTGGAGTGTAAATATATACACACTACAACCACCAAGCTGATCGCCTCCACTGATGGGTTTTATGTAATAGATACACTAAAGACACTTTCTTGACCTGGAAAACAAGGCACTCGCAGACCGGAGCAGATTAGTATTTATCTCCTATTCCTCCAAGCGGCGTCTGCACTCAAATACAAAGGCGTCCAAGCTTGTTTTTTGACGCCGCATTCTGAACGCAGCTTTAATGACAATATAAGGAAGAACAGAGTGTTTTCAGTTTGAGAAAAAGAACACAGCCTAAATATGCAGGATTTGTGTGTTAAACATGTCTGAATAAAATAAAAGAATAATAATTAATAAATATGTTTTTTTAGGTTTAGATAATGTCAAAGAAGATCCCAAATCTGCAGGCGTAGCAACGTTTGTCATTCAGGAGGAGTTCGACCGCTTCACTGGGTACTGGTGGAGTCCCTCAGCTGTAGAAGGTAAGATGTAGTTTTGATTTGGGGAAGATATCAGCTTAGAGAGAAAAAAATAGAAACTGCTAAATGAGTACAAGAATCACAGGCCTTTTGAAAATGTGTGTCATGTCTAAACTGCAGGGCTAGTAGCTTTTATAGCAGTAAGAACCAGTGGAAACAAAAACAACAGTTGCAATACATTTTAGGGATGGGACAAGATCTCATGCCAAAAAGGATTAAGTGCTGGAAAGTAAAATTTCTTGAGAAGATGATGTACTAAAAACAGTGCTGCAATGACATAAAAAGTATTCAACAAACTAAATCATAAATGTTAAGGCCAAAATTATGAACTGAATCACATCATTGATTTATTTTTATTTATTATGAATTATGCTAAAATCTCATCTTGTCTTGTGTAAAATGTGTCTCGTCCCACCCCTGGTAAATATACAGAATTACACAGAATTGAATGATAGACCTTAGACCACTACCAAGGCACTCTGCAATCTTACATCGAGAATAATAATAAGGACAGTGAAGCAAGTGCCCAGTTAAGGAAACGAACGATGCAACGTTAAATGTAAATGTTCTACAACAAAGCACATATAAATAATAGAGATGTAACGTTATCTAAATCTCTTGACAAAATATTTTCACTATATACTTCTTATGGTACAATATTTATTGTGATTTTCTGTCATAACACAAATAATTAAGATGTAAAAACATTTAATCAGTTATTTCATCATGTAAATTGGACTGAAACACATGGTATATGTAGTTCTCTATTTTTGAACCATAACAATGCATTTAAGCAAATGAACTAAGTTATTAACAATATTATTGTGAGACTTTTGATGATACAATGCCACAATATTTTGCTTATTATTGTTACATTCCTAATAACTAATATAGTGAAAAAAAATACTACTGCTTAGGGCTGGACAGAAAAATTGGTTTAATCTATACATTTTAAATTTTGTCTGGATGAAAATCAGTTTTATTTCCTGAAGGGTCCTCTGGGCTTCTGTAGCTCAGCCTTGCAAACTGTGTCAACAACAGGGCTGCATGCAAAGAAGAGTCTTTCCAGAAATGACACAACTTTGAATAGAGTCATGAAGATGGTTTGAATATGAACACTTCTCATAGTGACATCTCATGAGCTCACTATTTGCTGCACTGCAACTTTAAGGGTGTGCTATGTAACTTTCTGGTTGGGGGTCCGTCACCTGCTTGTTTCTATGGAGATGTCATTGCTCTGCCTGGATTGGAATGTTCCACAGTATGACATGAAACAGCTCTGCCTTACATTTATTCAATTATGGGTAGTTTTATAACTCAAAAATACTTACAAAAAAAAACAATAAACAGGCAAAGACAAAGCAATAACATCTCCATGGAGAAAAGCAGTTGACAGACCCTCCACCAGAAAAGTTACACAGTGCACCTTTAAAACTAATTATACAGCAATTCTACATCTCTTTTTGTTTGGATAATTTTCTGTAGGTTCCAGAACATATTTATTTTGTGTTTTATCTCCCACCTTAGACAACGATGGAGGAAAGACGGTGCACCTTTTGTACGAGGAGGTGGATGAAACAGACGTAGAAATCATCCACGTGCCCTCGCCAGCGCTGGAGGAACGGAAAGCAGACGCCTACAGATACCCACGCACAGGTCAGACTCACGCTACACAGATTATACACTGACAGCATTATATCTGAAATGTGTCCCTCAACATTCACACTGAGGGGCACTGAGGCAGAACTATGGCCATCTTTAAGGTCCAATATTACGCAAAATTGACTCTTGTGAGTTTTAAGCTATGTTAGAATGTTGTTACCTCCTCAAAACCTGGATACCTGGAGTTGTGTTTTGTTTTAGTCACATGTTTGAGTAACCCTTTGCTATTAGACTGTCTGCATCTCCAAAGCTCAAAATGGGCTGTTCCACCTTGTGATGTCATGAAGCGGCTATCTTTTACCTTTAGTTCAGTAGAGATTGGCAGTTCTAGGGCTGAAGTTGTCAAGATGATTCTAGTGAAGGTGTATGGAGTTCAAAAACACAGTGGAGCACTGTATTACCACAAGACATCACAAGGTGGAGCAGAGTGTTTTCAATATGAGAGAAGAACTTTAAACTTAAACCTTTGCAGGATTTGCAGGATAACCTGGGCCCAGACAAAATGTGTTTCTTTGCTTTTTTATCCTAATTTTGGTCCATAGAGTATTTTTTAAGCTCAGTTTAGCTTTATACTGCAAAATGGCAGTAGTTTTCTCTGTTGTTGCTGTGGCTGTGCAGAGCGATACAGGAAGATGAATTGTTGTCGGGTGACACTTTGAGTCACCCTACAACAATTAATTAATCTCCAACACACAGACTCAGAAAGTAAGATGATGAATGTGCCTTGAGTCTGCAGTGTCCCTATTGTTTAACAGCTAACTGTTTTTTTCCTACTGTTTCCTTGATTTTCTTGTTTCAAATGTCGGGTACAAACTAAATATTTATCAGAGTTGTAGTCTTTTATATTTGTGCTTAAACAAAAAAATATATATATTTCATTTCAGGAAGCAAAAACCCTCAGGCAACACTCAAATTAGCAGAGATCAAAACAGACCATCAAGGAAGAGTAAGTGACAAGTAATTATGGTTATTCATCATAATTAAAGCATTTTAAAAACATCTTAACATATGTCTTTACAGATTATCAGCACACAAGACAAAGAGCTAGTAGTCCCATTCAACTCCTTGTTTCCTGGGACTGAATACATCGCGAGAGTGGGGTGGACTAGTGATGGAAAATAGTGAGTGACATCTGCCATTTTCTAATATGTGTTTTTAATGTTATAATTTTCTATTTGTAGCTTATTGATGTGGTATTTATTGAGTCATTAGTGTGCACTTGAAGTGGACATGTTATGCAGAATCATTTTTTTAATCATGTTATATTTGTTTGAAAGGTTATATCTAGAGTGTCCCATGAGATTCATTTGGTGTTCCGATATTCTATGTTATTAGGTTCTTTTTTTCAGACCTAGAGTGTTATTTCATACCTGACAGTTTCGACTGCTCACTAGCGTCTTCCTCAGAGTGGTCACGTGATGTTGCTGTGACCAGACACGTCACGTATTTAAAATGTCCAAAATATAACATAAGGATCCACAGGTATCATTTATTATAACTACATAGTAGACAAAAGCACAGTGTGTTCTTTAAAAATGTATTGTGTAATTTTCTGGAGGAGGGCCTGTCACCTGCTTTTCTCCATGGTTATTGCTTTATCTGGAATGTTTCACAGTATGGCTTTAAACTATTCTATCTTCTGGAGACCACAGATCTGACCTGTAATTTGGTCTGGCTTGGAGAGTCAGACTGCCTGTTTTTTAAGCTATAAAATCACCTGTAACTGAATAAACATAAGGTAGAGCTGTTTAATGTTATACTGTGGAACAATCCAAGCAAGAGCACTGACATCACTGTAGAAACAACCCTAACCGAAAAGTTACACAGTGCACCTTTCACTTTCATCTCCTGTCTCCCTCTAGTGGCTGGGCAGTGCTATTGGACCGCAGTCAGAGGAAACTGCAGTCCTCCTCCCTCCCGCTCTTTTCATCCCCGTTACAGATGACCCCACAGTACGGCAGGAGCATGTAGAGTCTGTACCCCCCAACACACAGCCCTACATCATCTATGAAGAGACCACAGATGTCTGGATCAATGTACGACTTTATCAAACTTTATTGATTTGTTGTTTAGTAGCTAGGGCTGTGAAAAGTATCAAGTCTAAAACTAGTATTGATTTCAGCAGGTATCAATACTAAAATAATCACCTTCACAGGACAGAAATGAACCTTAAGCAGTATAAGAGCACATAGACTAGTATAGGCCCATGGACACTATAAACCTACTGGACCACTGAAATTACACACATATAAGACTGTATTATAATATAAAAGAAAGTACTACCATTTAATGTTGAAAATCACATTTTGTTGTCTAAATAAAGAGTACTTTTTAATTATCATTGTGATATCAGAATCTAGTATTGAGTATTGAGTTTATTTCTTAGTATGAGAATTTAATTTGAAATCTCAGTATTTTTGAAAGTTACTAGTAGTGTTGTCACGATACTGATTGTGTTTTGTTTCTTACAGGTCCATGACATATTTTATCCTTTTATTCAAACGTCAGAGGAGGAGTTTAGCTTCATTTGGGTCAATGAGTCCAAAACAGGCTTTAGCCATTTGTATAAAATTACATCTCTGTTTCAACCGCGGTGTTATCGGTGGACAGAAGGTTACCAGCATTCAAAAGGTAAGTCTGGTTTTGCTTAGTTATTATGTTATTAACTGTGTGTATGTTACTAACTGTTGGAATTTTATCATAGACATACAGTCAGAACCCCTGGAGCATAATGTCACTGCGAAGTATCAGTACCAATACCATTAACTGACAATGCTGTTTGTTGTTTCTAGGAGATTTTACATGTGCAATCAAGGAGGAGGTTGTATTGACGTGTGGGGAGTGGGAAGTTTTGGCAAGACATGGTTCAAAGGTAAAACGATTACTATTATCTGTATCTGGTCATCACTGTCTTAAATTTGTAACAGAATTTTTTTTTTAAATGTTGTAGCTGTCCAAACTTATTCCTCACACATACACACATGGACCAGTATAGAACCCACCTGCACTACTGAGGGATTACACACAAATAAGACACAATAGAAAAGAAACTACTACCATTTAATGTTGAAAATCACATTCTGTTGTCTGAAGAGTGTTTTTAATTATGTATTAAGTCTATTCCTTGGTACCTAAACTGAGCTTGAAATGTTAGTATCATGACAACACTAATATCTGTACTATGGCAAAACAAATGTAACTTTGTTTTGAAAGAAAAATCTAGTGCAGCCCCTTTCATACACATAGTTTTTGTATTGTATACATTTGTATTATCATATTCTGTATCCTAATAATTGTTTATTTGTGTGTTTTCTTTCTTAGATCTGGGTGAACGAGACGACCAAAGTGGTGTTTTTCCAGGGCACCAAAGACACACCCCTGGAGCATCACTTGTATGTAGTGAGCTATGAATGTCCGGGGGAAGTGGTCAGATTAACCAAACCTGGCTTCTCACACAGCTGCTCTGTTAGTCAGGTATGAACTTTAAATAAGACATTCAGCAGCAGTCTTTTATAGTACACCATGTATATCACAACGTTTTATATTTATTAACATCTTGCTATTTTTATACTGAATTAAAGATGCACTGTGTAACATTTCTAGTGGAGAGTTTGCCACCTACTTGTCTTCAGTGACATGTTATTGCTTGCCTGGAACGTTCCATGGTATGTCATTAAACTTATCTAGTAAGCATTTATACATTATGGGTGTTTCTGTTGCTCAAAAATACAATTTGACTAGGGTGACTCTCCACAGATCTGAACTGTAATGTAGCGTAGTGCTGTAACCTGCTTGTCTCCCTTGTGATAGATAGGTTTAATTTCTACTGTGAAACATTTTAAACAAAGCAATAACATTTCCATGAAGACAGGTGGCAAACTCTCCACTAGAAACGCTACGCACTGCACCATTAAGAGGTTCTGTGAAAAAATATCTTGTTTTTGTGTTTGAGTAAAATTTACAATAAATTCTTAATCTTCATTTTTATCTTGACCCCATACCAACGCATCACTCATAGTTTGCCGTGATGGTGCCTGTGCATAGAAGCACACTCACAAAACAATGATTTCTTCCTGTTCCTGGGGTGAATCAGTTGTGGTATCTTAAAGGAACTGTATGTAAGATTCCGATTTTAAATTCCATGAACCGGTGTCCCCAGATACGAGATAAACATGTTCAAATCAAATATAGCTTTTACTGATAACAACTGTAATGCTGATTTCTTTTTAATTACAAAAACATTGTACATGATGGCCAAGTGGTTTGTTATAGAATGATATTTTGGTTCTTGAGAGAAAGCAGAATCATCCTCACGAGTATCATTTGGGTCACAATCATTAATGCTGCTGCTGTATATGAAGGCCATACCCTGAGGATGAGAAAACTTGTGTGTGTCCTCTATCTGCAGGTTGAGTCACTGGCAACCTAGGTTCATTTGTGATTTTTGCCTTTTTTAAGAGAGCAGACTACATACAGTTCCTTTAAACAGCAGAATTGCCCAGGATGTTTGTATTTCCTTCATGATCAAACATTGTACAATATAAGAAAAGCATGAACTGCCATGCAGACATATTTGTAGCCAATCTTTCCAAAGATGTGTACTCTTCTTATCTCAGAGTTCACACAAATACGTGGTCAAAGTGTGTTCAAAATTAACACTGAAGTTAACGTGCAAAAAAGAACAAAACAATGCAGAGGACTGAATGTCTCCATATGAAGCTTCCGTGTAGGCTGAAATTTGTTTACTATAATTTTGACCTGGGATTTGTGCTGTGTTTCTCTCTTCAGAACTTTGACTTCTTCATTAGCCACTACAGTAATGTCAGCACGCCCCCTTGTGTCCACGTGTATAAACTGAACAGCAGTGAGGATGACCCGCTGAGCCTGGTGCCAGAGTTTTGGGCCAGTATGATGGAGTCCCCAGGTATATGCATTAGGATTCTACCACTTGTATTCTTCCGTTGTAGTTCATTTGTGACATGGGCAGTGGTTACATGCACACTCAAAATCAGTTAATTATCAGATTTGGAAGATTAAAATGCATTGTAAACAGCAAAGTCACCTGATTTTTTTCTGGCCATGGTCCCTCTGATCACTCACAGATTTTGCTGTTCATTTGTCATGTAAATAATCTGAAATGTCCAGAAACAGGTAATAATTTTGGTGTGTGTATAAACAAAGCCAGTGTGAGCTGAGGTGAAGGCTGTCCACATACTCTGCCAGTCAGTGTTTAGACTCACCTTCTCATACAGTGTTGTTTTTTTTCTTGGTGGACTACTTTCTACATTTTAGATACATACAGAAGACATTGAATATATGATGCAATCGTACGGAATTATGTAGCAAAGGAAGTTAATAACTCAACTATACTGCATTGCAAACACTTGAGCTTCATGATGAAGTCTCCTGAAATGGTTTTCACTTCACAGCTCTGCCTTGTCAGGGTTAAGAAATGCCAAGAGTGTAAAGCAGTGATCAAAGCAAAGGATGGCTTTAAAAAAATCTAAAATGTAAAACAAGTTTGGAGTTATTTTCACTTCATTTTATCTTTTCAACATTCTATAGCTGTCCATTCATATTTTTGATGGCTTCATTGAGTCTACAATATAAATAATCATGAAAATTAAGAACACTTTTTGGACAAATTTTTTTCCTTTTGGTAGTGTATCTGTAAACTTATTTTAGTCCATAGTGTTGGGGTTTGATCTGGGGCGTCCTCCAGACAAGGCCTCACTGGATGTGGAGATGGCTCTGAGCCTTCCTCACCAAGAGGACGAGCAGGAATCGGTAATCTAAGCAAACAACACGACCTGTAAATACCAACAAAAACAAAACCACCTACTCTCTTCTGAATTTTTCCATTTTTATAGATGCTTTACAGTGACATCACACTGCGGGTTGAGCAATTAGCATAGAGACACAATGCACACATTAACAAACACTATTAAAAAGTTATATAACAGTCTGAAAACTTGAGAAAAAATGCATTTAAACACATTTTCAGGACCTGTGAGCAATGCGAGCTTTCACGGTCCTGTTTGATTTTCAACACAAACGGTGAGAGTGACTAACTGAAAAACTGTTGACTAGTACTAGCTGTCTTGTGATTGTAATGTAAGGACTTGTTTAACAGCACAAATCAACTCTCCTGTTTTATTTCCAGCTAAGTCGATTCTTTATGGTCAGATTGTAGTAAAATAAAACTCAGATTCATGTCTAACAGCTTCAGACAGATCAGTGCCTACAGTCAGATTCACGCCCCCAGGAAATGTTGACATCAGCTCCAAAGTATCAACTGGAACACCTAAAAGCAGATACACATTTTCTTACTTTGACCCAGCCTAAAGAGACAGTGCACTTAACATTATATTTTGTGTATGTCTTCCTCCAGGTTGCCCCGGAGATTATAACCCCCCAGAGATCTTTGACTTTCCGGGGAAGTCTGGCTTTCAGCTTTACGGGATGGTGTACAAGCCTCACAACCTGCAGCCGGGCCGGAAACACCCCACTGTGCTCTTCGTCTACGGAGGGCCACAGGTTTGGACCGTTCTGTTTTGTATTGACACTCGGCAGTGACATCATGTATGTCCTTGGCCGAATGTTCAGCAGTTACCATGGTGACACCATGCACACATTAGCTAACAATGCCTGATAAGTTTTCAAAATAGTCTGCAAACTCAAGAAAAAATACAACATGGATTTAAACAACGCATTTTCTGGAGATTGTGTTTAAATATTTAGTCCCTAACAGATACAGAGAGCATGTTCTAAACGTTTGCCCAAAAGCACAAGATTACACATAGCTCCACACTGCTCCTGAATATCTCCTGAATATAATATAATAAATATAAAACGTGACCCAAGTTCTGAGAAAATCCAATTACACTAGATGCTAAAATCACTTTCCTTTACTCTGCCAAACCAGGAACTAATGGACTGCAAAAAACTTTGCATCCAGAGCCATTTCTTGCTTTTTCAAAAACATCTCAAGAGAACAGTGTTTGGAGCACTGTGATTCACTTATGTGTTTGTGTTTTCTGTCCATTTTCCTTATGATAGAACTGTTATGTATTGAAAGGTGCTCTATGTAACTTTTTGATTTGGAGTCCGTAACCTCCTTGTTTCTTTGGATATGCCATTGCTCTGTTTCATTACACAGCTCTTAAACACCTTGCATTTATTACAGGTTAATTACAGGTGGTTTTATAGCTCAAACACACCTAGAAAAACATTCAAAGCATTCTGAGTGTGAGCCTCTCCATAGATCTGACCTGTAACTTTGTTTGGTTTGGTCTCCATGAAGATAGAAACATTCTGTGAAATTGTGAAATGTTCCAGACAAAGCAATACCATCTCCATAGAGAAAAGTGTTTGCCGGACCTTCCACCAGAAAAGTTACACTATACACATTTTAAATAAACAAAAATGCTGAATGCTTTGCTAGTGTCTGAGTTTAGAATTCTATGGGTCATCAGGTAGACCAAAGATTTCACCAACTGTTTTAAATACAATATTTTTTTGTGCATAGGTGCAGTTAGTGAACAACACATTTAAGGGGATGAAGTACCTGCGGCTCAACACTCTGGCCTCCCTGGGATACGCCGTGGTGGTGATCGATGGCAGGGGGTCCTGTCAGAGGGGGCTGGAGTTCGAAGGAGCGCTTAAAAACAAAATGGTAAAAATAAAAGACTTGGATTTTTTGGGGACTTTTGAATGTCATGTTAAAGGTTCTAAATTACATTAAATTGACTATTATGAGCTTTAAGCCATGTTGTAATGTTGTTACCTCCTCAAAAACCTACCACAAAAACTTGTGTTTTTTTTTCATTCAGACATTATTAGTCTGTCTACATCTCCTCCAAAGCTCCAAATGCTCTGTTCCACCTTGTGATGTCATGAAGCTGTAGTTTTCAAGTTGACATCTACCTTTTTAGCTTTGGTTCGGTAAAGATTAGTAATTCCTAGGATGAAATGATCCAAATGATGTGAAGTCAAGTGTGATGACATATGATGTCAAGTGAAGGTGTACGGAGTTTAAAAACACAGTAGATGACTTCCTGTATCACCACATGACATCACAAGGTGGGACAGAGTGTTTTCTGTTTGAGAGAAGAACTCTAAATGTGCAGGTTTGTGTGTCAAACATGTGTGAATGAAACAAAACACAACTCCAGGTCTGTTTGTGATAAGGAAACTACATTATAACAGATCAGAAAATAATATCCAATATGTGTGTGGTGTTCAGGGTCAGGTGGAGATCGAGGACCAGGTGGAGGGGCTGCAGTACGTGGCACAGAAGTTTAACTTTGTGGACCTGAGTCGAGTGGCCATTCACGGCTGGTCCTACGGGGGCTTCCTGTCGCTCATGGGGCTCATCCAGAGACCCAACGTCTTCAAGGTCAGTTATCAGCTATGTCTTTAGCTAATCTCTTTAGAATTATTTTACATAAATGTTGATTAATGAGCTTGATTGGTACTTTGTAGTGACACCATGCTGGGGATTCTGCATGCATGTCTGTAGCAGTATGTGTAACAGTTACCATGGTGATGAGATGCACTCATGAGCAAATACTGACAAAAAAGTTTTAAGAAAACACAAGAAATATACAAAAGGGATTTAAACAACACATTTTCAGTAACCTGTGAACATTCACAGTCCCAGGTGTTATGTGTTTGATTTTCAACTAAAAAGGTGAGAGTGACTAACTGAAAAACTGTTGGTAAACCATGTACTAGTAGTAGATAGTTCTGATGTAATACCTTTTTCCTCCACATGGTGTTACTGTTGGGCTGTGCTTAGTCAGCCAACTTGGAAAAGATCAGATTCAGACATTATATTTTCGGAGTTATAAAATTATTAAAATGAAAATGTAAACAGCAAAATAATCAGATTTTTTCTAAACATGGTCCCTCTGATTACTTACACATGCAGCAGTTTGTATGTCACTGAAATAAGTTCCAGAAATCAGATCATAATCAGATTTGGCTGTGCATGTGAACATAGCATGATTTTTCTCATGCATTTTTGAATTCAAATTTTATTTTATCAAGAATTGTAAAGGAGAAATTTAGTTCTATCAACTGGACAAAAGTTATCAGCTGAATGGAAGCGCTAACTACACCCAGACTGTGGTCCAAAACAGAAAAAAAAAAGATCTGATGAAGACTTTTTGCCGAAAGGTTATCTAAATATTTTTTTTAAGTTTTGGACATTGCATCTGCACCTCTACAAGAACTTTGGTGTGCGTTTTCTCCTGCATTTGAACTACACTGAGACTAACACACCCACTTGTTTACAGTTTCAGTTAGTCTGCTAGTTCAGTAGATCCAGCCAACTGTCCCTGACTCACCTATTTGCATGCAGGCAATCACTATTGTTTCCCTTGTTTTGATTTAGCTCTGACTATTGAGCTATAATTAAGAGATAAATGATGTCTAAGCCCTCGTTTCTGTTCAAAGATGGAAAACAGCCTGTTTAAAGTTAAACTTTATGGTTGGGGTCTGTCACCTGCTTGTTTCTGTGGATGTGTCATTAAACGGCTCTACCTTACATTTATTGAATTACAGATGTTTTTAGACTTTGTAAACAGACATTCTGATTTTGTGTGGGGTTGCCTCTTCAGAGAATTGACTTGTAACTTGGTCTGGTTTGATCTCTGTGGAACATTCCATACAAGCAATAACATCTCCACAGAGAAAAGCATTTGACAGACCTTCCACCCTACACGATGCACTTTTAACTCTCCTCTCAAACCACCTCTTTTCACTGGATCTGTACCTCATTGTATTCATAGGTTTATGAAGGATCTTTGCAGGACTCAAGTTATAAGATCAACTGAAAGAAGAGTTCTCATGATCTTTGGTCTTAATGTTATGTGTGTGTTGTGTTTCAGCTGGCCATAGCTGGAGCTCCAGTGACCGTGTGGATGGCCTACGACACAGGATACACAGAGAGATACATGGACGTGCCGGAGAACAACCAGCAGGGCTACGAGGAGGGCTCTGTGGCTCTGCATGTGGACAAACTGCCCAGCGAGTACGGCCCATTAAACAAAGATCTTTATTCTGTACAAACTGTGGCGTTATATTTACGATTTTTAGACAAGATCTTATGTCACAAAATTGTATCCTCCTTTTATCCTGCTTACCTTTGGCACGGGCACGAAAGGGTTACGCTTCGCCCAAGTTCTTGGAAGCTGCGTTTCTTTGAGCAGCTGTAGCTAAATGACTTCTCCATACACAGACTGTAGGTCACATATTCAGACAGAGAGTGGCACACCTTAAACTCTGCTCCACTTTTTATTTCGTAGTGATAGCACCAATATTGACACAAATAATCAGTGCTTAAGTTTGTACAAAAAGATTACGAAAAGCTATAATGACAATAAACACGTGTCTAATTGACGCACAGACAGCACGGAGCATGCAGTGTTTTCCACTTAAACACAATTTGAAAAAGATCCACAAAGACATATTTAGGCCTTCTTCATCCATAACTTGGTTTAAATTGAGAAAAGAGGAGAGAGAATTGCTCGATTTCTATTAGTATTTGATGTTTAGTTCTTTTGACAACCCTAGTCTAGTCATGCTGGTCTTATAAAGAAGAAAACTGCTACGTTATAAAAAGAACTGCTGGAGATATGAAGAGTACTAGTTCAGAATCCTGGATGTATAGAGGAGTTGCATGGACAGCCTGGAGGCCCGAGTCATGCCACAGCAGAGGAAATATGTAGCTTCAGGTTTACAATTCCTGTGTTGAACAGTTTCTCCTGAGTTCATGTCAAGTTTAAGATTTTGATGCCGTTTTAAAATCTGAAATCTGTCTCATCCCTTTCAGGCCCAACCGTTTGCTGATTCTTCATGGGTTTTTAGACGAGAATGTGCACTTTTTCCACACCAACTTCCTTGTGTCACAGATAATCCGCGCGGGGAAGCCATACCAGCTGCAGGTGAGTTTGTGCTGTGTTTGAGATCACTTGCAAATTTCCTCCTTTTGAGAACTGCCAATGAAAGAAATGTATTTTCCTTATCAAAAACGTACACAGAGTTAGGTTTTGGTTCATTCACACATGTTTGAGTATTTTTTTAATTAGTTTATCTAAGATTGAGTGTTTTTTGTTTGAGAAAAGAACAATGTAAACGTGCAGGGTTTGTGCATTAAATGTGTGAATGAAACAAAACATAACTCAAAGTCTGTGATGAAGAAACAACATTAGAACATAGATCAGAAAACAGCCCAATATGGGACCTTTCATCAGGTTAGTGAGAAGTAGAAAGTAGATCAAAATGAAGTATATCTTCATACGTAACTTAAGCCTGTTGAGTCTTTCTCCCATGAACCATTAAACGTCTTCAGAATGCAGCTCTTTTCACAGTTTTATGGGCACAGTTCCTGACGTGTAGAGACAGCAGGACACATGAGCGTGAATATCTGTGCTCCTTTCAGTATTTTCAGGACAAACTCAGTCTAGACTTGCCCTCCCATCAGTCACTGCAGATTATGGTGCTATAAAAGTTGGCAAAAACATCTTTCACTAGGAATGTGAAGTTATCTAACTTTGAACACACAAAGCAGATTTCTTTGTAAAAGTTGACTGACTTGTCTCCATAGAAGAGGATATGTGGCTTTGGATGGACTGTTCCCTACAATAAAGTGTACCTTAAATACTGTGGAACACTCCTGGCTCTCCATGGAGACAAGCAGGTGTCTGAAGCCCTCCAGAGAAGTGACATTGTGCACAACATGATGATAACAAATAAGAATAGATAAACTTCACTTCTCCAGTATGGCTCATGATTGTTGTTGCTGCGCTGTATCTTATCTCATACAAAAGGTTCCACACACGTGCTGTGTGGTCTTTGATAACCTGCTCTGCTCCTCTGTCTGCATCAGTGTGTGTGGCTCACACAGAGCTGGAAATGAGCCGATACAACACGTGCCGACAAATCAAAGACAACCAGACAGATCGTGTGCACAGGGCGGAGCTTATGAAAGATGGAAAGTTTTACTGTGTGACATTTGTGCGTTTGTTCCTCCTCTTCTCACACTGGGGTTTAATGATTTCAGTGAATCTTTGAGAAACATGAGGCTGGAGAAGTTTATTTACATCAGTACATCAGACATGAACGCTCAAGACATTGTGATAGTGTTATCATTCCAGTTTAGCCCAGTCCAGTCTGGTTATGCTTCTGTTGTAGGGAGTATTATACCATTAATAACAAGGACTGAGTTGGCAGTGAACAAATTCTCGGCCTGTCACGATAACACATTTTTTAATGTATATTGCTAATATTTTGCTGAATTAAACATAGACGACAGGCGATAATATTGAAACTCATTTATGTCCCTGACACAATGACCCAAGAGCAGATTTAAACTAACATCTCAAATGTCTGTAGCTAGCTCCTTAACTAGCCTCTCACACTGTCTCCATGGACACAGTCTCCATGGATAACAGTTCATTTCACACAATCCAGCAGTCCCTTGTGTTCAGTCCCTCAAAGTTTTTCCTCTGAAGATCTTCTGACACATTTGCTGCTGTCCACAGCTAGAGCTAGTTCCTTCGCTGGCTCCTTAGCTAGCCTCTTGCATGGTCTCCATGGATACGGGAAAAACTAACCCATTTTCCAAAATCCAACTGTCTGTTACTTGTGCCCTTTGAACTGCACATGTTGCACTTATTATTTGGTCAAAACCCCATGACAGGATGTTAAAAACTGAGCTCAAAAAAGAAGAAGTTTCAAACTGAACCAGCAGCAACCGCTCGGTTGTCATGGAACCAAAAAAAACAATGAGCAGCAGTGCGTTAAAATTGCACAATGCCCGGCTCCAGGTTGTATAATGTGTTTATACCACGGCTTCTATCCACTGTGCTGATGTCATTGGTGATTGGTGCAGAGCAGTGATGCGGCCGCAGTAATGACTGACAGGCCTAGGCAATCAATAGTAAATGTTTTTTTAATTTTTTATTTCAGGTTTATCCCAACGAGCGCCACAGTATCCGCTGCCCTGAGTCCGGAGAGCACTACGAGATAATGCTGCTGCACTTTCTACAACAATACCTCTGATGCCCTGCCCTGTGTCACCCACCCCCAGCTTACCACACATGCCCTACCCACCCGCACACCCACCCGCCTACCCATGGCACCTTCACCCTCCGTCTCATGCCCACAAACGCGCCCGTGCAGCCAGCTTTTAAAAGGAAGACAGTGGAGGAGACGATGGACTTAAGGAGAAACGCACCAACCATTCATAACTCGCTGATGGAACTGGGAAGAGTCTGGGCCGAGATTTGATCACGGAATGAACTGCGTCTGTTGCTTTTGCGTTTTAAGTTTTTATGAGAATATCAGATACAATATTCTATCAAGAAACTACGTCGTTTTAGCTCTTCAAACTGGATTTTCATACTAAATACTTTGGAGTGAAGGTGGGCTGTTTGGCAGATAACCTGATTTGTTGACGTTTGTTGCTGTTATGGCTGCTTGGTGTGGTCTCCAGCTCACCCAGGTCCTCTATTCTTATTCGGTATTCGCCATCTTTGACCTTTGACCCTTTGCCCCTTTTGCCAAACGTGTTGTTTCGACTGCCCTGTGCCCGTTTGCGCTGTGTGAGTTTGTGCTAGAGAATAGTCTTATATTTGAAATGGACGGGCTCATATATGTAAATGACACGCACCACCAAACGCGTTACTGCAGAGATTGTCTCAACTGACAAGTATTTTATCCTTAAGTTACAATAGACGCATGAAACTTGGGGTGTAAACATGGCTCAGATCTTTATTTAAGTTAAACAGATATTTTTACTTACTACTAACATGGGTTCTTAAAGGGCCTATGACAGGTTGGACTACTCATTTTACTAAAACACACTTCAAACCATTATATTTAAGATTTTACACAATATTTTACCTTTTTTCCCAGTTTGGCATATTTTAGGTTTCAAATTTTACTTTCTGCTCAGAAATTGTGACATCGCACTAGGGAATTCCATAACTGTTACCCAGCAACCATGAGGTACAGTAAGCCAAATGTTCTCTTACGTATACAGAGATTATTATGTTATTATTGTTATTAAAGTATCAGAAAAGGCGTTTCTTGTGTGTAAATTGTGCCGAACTTTTGATGAATTTCTCCCAGTGTGATGTCATCAGTGTGGGATTCTCTAAAATCGAACTCTCTACCTGTAATTTTCACCATATTTTTCAACTTCTCTTCACAAACTGCTTCTTGATTGGTGTAAAACTATAATTTAAATGTTCACCAAAAAGTAAAAATCTGAGAATCATCAAAACCTGTCATACGCACTTCAAGTTTTAAATACATAAATATACTTTCTGGACAAAAACTGTGTTGACAGTTTACTGAGGGCGGGTACATTTCTTTGACCTTTATCACAAAATGAGCTTTGCTTTTTAATTACACTTGATGCTTTCATTGGAATCTTTATTTCTCTGCAACAATAGCAACAAACAATGCTACTTTATTTAATTTTTTTTTTATCTTATTGCTTATCTGGATTATTCAGCGTTACTGACATGACTGTTCATTTCTGTCTCTTATCTGCCCTATCACCTTGCACTAGCATTACATTACCCAGAGCATTAGAGGGTACTTGGTGTTTTTTTTTTCAGTTCATTATTGCAAATTGTGCATTTTAAACAATACTACTCAAGTGAATCTGATTAACTATTGACATATAAAACCAATATATTTACATGCTGACTTTCTCCTAGTTTAAAAGGTTTATATTACACTGTTCTGAGCTCTGTTAGAATGTTTACTCATCCAAAACAGACCTGGAGCTGTGTTTTCTCTCATTCACACATGTTAAATCCTGCAGAATTCTTCTCTCAAGCAGAAAACACTCTGTTCCACTTTGGGGTAATTCATGAAGTGCTCCACTGTGTTTTTAAACTCCATGCACCTTCACTACAATCATTTGGATAATTTCAGCACTGGAATTTCCAATCTACTGAGCTAAACTAACGGTAAAAGGTTAACTTAAACTACCACTACATTACTCAGACATGTGTGAATGAAACAAAACACAAGTCCAGGTCTGTTTTTGACGAGGCAGCAACATTCTGACATGATTTAAAGCTCACAAAAGTCCATTCTGTGTAATATAGGAGCTTTTAATGCCTGCGTCAGTCTGGTCCATGTCTGCACCCCATATGCACTTGTGCGTGTGTGTGTGTGTAAATTGTATCAAATGTGCATCAGTTGGGCCAGCGTCTCTACAGTGTGGTGCTTTTGTACAGACAGACACAGACCCAGGCCTCTGTGTCCTCTGCTTATAGCTCTTTAAATAAACTATTTTTATGACGTTTTATGACCTCGTGGAGGTTTTGTCCCCTCTCACAGCATCACGCGAGTCGTCTGCTTGCCTTCTTAACTCATAATTTATATTTGCCAAAGTACCTCTCGACTCATGCCGGTATTTCCTTTTTTTACTGCAATAAAACAGACAGAAGGGTGAGCACCGGAGTATTACAACAGCTTTGTACCACCGGAAATCCTTTGTACATGATAATGAATAAATGTATGATTCAACCACATCAACTCCCTTTTGTTTCTTCAGAACTCACGTGGGTCTACATTAGAAACTAAAGGTGCATTATGTAACTTTTCCCGTGGAGGAAAAGCTGAGTAAATGCTTTTCTCATTGAAGATGTTATTGCTTTGTCTGAAATGTTTCACAGTATGGCATTAAACCTTTCTATCTTCATGGAGACCAAACCAGACCAAGTTACAGGTCAGATCTGTGGAGAGGCGACCCCACTCAGTCAGAATGATGTTTTTTCTAGGTATTTTTGAGCTATAAAACCACCTGTAATTGAATAAATGTTATATAGAGCTGTTTAATGTGATACTGTGGAACATTCCAGGCAGAGCAGTGACATCTCCATAGAAACAAACAGATAACAGAACCCAACCAAAACTTTACATTGTGCACCTTTTAACTTTTTTGTTTAATAGAGTTTGAGGTGTTGGTAAATTGTCCTTTTTCTACAGCGCCCGTGTACGCACACACTGGGAGTGAGATGGGTTAAGTCTCTTGCCCAAGGACACAACAACATTCATCTGTGAGCTGGAATTGCACCTCCAACCTGTGGGTCAATGGATGTGACCACTCAACCAACGATGTTTATGCCGAGAGTAGAATTCGAACCACCGACCCTCAAATCAGTGGACAAACATTTATATTATTTTAGTACAGATAACAGTATATATTACTATTCACATATTGCTTTCGAATGTGACACAATATGAGAGAGATGCTAAAGAGGGCAATTCAAGTTTCCATGTCACAATTCTTCTTAAAATGATGAACCATGAAAGTGAAGTGGTATTCTAAACCTGGAACTTAGCGATGGCTCTCCACAGATCTGAACTGTAATGTAGCGTAGTGCTTGTCTTCTTGCTGATAGACAGGTTTAATCTAAACTGTGGAACATTTTAGACAAAGCAATAAGATTTCCATGGAGAAGAGCAGTCGATGGACCATTCACTAGAAATGTGCACCTTTAACAAAACCTTCACATGCAACGGTTTTACTTCTTTTTTCTACAGTGCAAAAAAGCTTGGCCAAAATTTAAGATACAAACACTTCAGTTTATCAGAAAATTACTTAAAATTAGGGATGTAACAATAACCGAAATATCATATCGTATCGTCAAAGTTCTCACAATAATATCATGGATCATCACAATATATTGAATTACAAATCTTTTTTTATATATCAAGAGTTCTGGTGCAGCAACAGCTAAAAAAAAGACAGAACTACATAGACCATGATCCTTTGCTACATTTCAATGCAGATTACAAGAACAAATAACAATTTTAAGCACTTTTAAATCTTAGTTCTTTAGATTAAGTATTGTCAAGGCGTTTTAAGAGGAAAAAGAAGCATATTAACAGTTTTGTCAACCTCCACAAAATATCACAATAAATATTGTACCGTGAGATGAATATTGTGAAAATATCGTACTGAGATTTCGATATTGTTACATCCCTAATCATGAGCCTCCCCTCCATATCGTGAGCTTTCCCACGATATTGCAATAAATATCGTACCATGAGATTCATACCGTGAAGATATTGTATTGTGAAACTTGGATATCGTCTACACCTCTACTTAAAAACTAATGAAATGATCTGTCCATGCAGCAAGATCATTTGACTTGACAAGTTCTCTTAAAATAAACGACTTCTAGACTAGAATGAAGCGTCTCAGAACTAGTGAGTAGAAAATAAATCTGAAAACATGATGTAAATAAATAAATCTGGTATAAGTTTTAAAATCTTGGCCAGATCAGAGAAATTTGCAGCATGTTCTAGATAAAAACTGAAAACATCAAATATATGAAGCAAGATGTAGAGAATTATGTAGCAAAGAAAAAAAAAACTATACTGTATACCTTTTTTGTTTTAGTTTCCGCCACCCTTTGCTTTGTTAACATTGCTGCAAACCCTTGGTCTCCTGAAATGGTTTTCACTTACCACAGTGCCTTGTCATTGTTCATCACTGGAAGAGCAAAGGAACAGGCGTCTATGTAGAGTCTAGAACAGAAAATAATATTCTGTGTTACTTCACACATTTTGTTTCTACGTTCCACATGTGTTCCTCAATAGTTTTGACGACTTCAGTGAGAATCTACAATGAAAAAAAACAAACAAACATGAAAATAAAGAATTGTGTGTGTATAAAATGGTTTGAGATGTAAATGTTTGCCGTCATTCTCTTCCATGTGTTTCACCGGGTGAGTGGTGCAGAGTGCTCCAGGCTCTTCAGGCGCCTCTTATCTTCTGCTGTTCCACTGGTGAGAGCCCCGTTTCCATGGAGACGTCATGAGAAGGTGTGGAGGTGAGAGAGCTGCTTTCCATCTCATGTCCTCACCGTGTACACACTAGTCCACAGTCTGTGGTCGTCACAGTGCAGGAGAATCAGCCTCAAGAGGAGCCTGGACATGGACGCACTTCACACTCAACAAGAAAGAGATGAAGCTTCAACTGCCCCATATCTTATCTAACATCAAAAGTGCCTTATGTGACTTCTGAGGTATAGAAATGCTGCTTCACCTGTCATGTTCCGCAGTTTGGCATTAAACCAACCTTTTTTGGGGAGGCAAACCAGAGACGCCACCAGGCCCAGGTCTGATCTGTGAGGTGATTGAAAAATAAGAATTAAAAAGTCCGTACTGATACTTTGCAACTGATGTCATCAATATTCGCCTGGGATGTGATGCTAACTGTAAGCACTGCTCTGTCTGAAGTGCTGTTACTCAAATTAGACTTTAATCTGATCTTTACTTTAATACAGTCGGACCAGAAAGAGGTGATTTGGAACTAGAGCAGGAGAGCTGATGTGTGCTCTAAAACAAACGTCTCACATGTAACAATCACAACAGTTTTTCAGTGAGTCCCTCTCACCTTTATAATGAAAATCAAACTTCTAAACAGGACCATGAACGCTCGGCTTGATCACAGGCTCCTGAATGTGTAAAAAAAAAAAATCACCTTCTAAATATTCAGCACATATTGGGTATTGAATCTTTGCTGCAAATTTATTTCAGTGTAGATGTTACACTGAATTTTGACAGCTGAATTTGAGGACTTAAAAATATTTGGGCTGAATATTTAAAGGTGATTTTATTTATTTGTTTATTTAAATAATGAATTATAAATAAATAATAATAATTCAGTTACTATGCAAAATTCAACTGCATTTAAAAATTCTGTTGAAACATTTATGTTCCACAGTTCTGTGCAGATGAGACTTGTTGCTAATGTGTGCATGGGGTCACCATGGTAACTCCTAAACATTCCAGCATACACATACATGTAGAACACCCCCACCATGATGTGACTGTAAAGTATCAGTTGGAGCATCCATAACCTCCATGATGTAAGTTTAGTATAATTCACATGTTGTTTCTTCACTTCAGGCTCTGACCTCTGCTCAGGTTCACAGATTAATGAATTAAATCCAAAGAGTGAAAGTGGAGAAGGAGAGATTAAAGCGGACAGCTCCAGGTCTGGTCCAGGTGAGGCAAGCTGCTTAAGACTTAAGAAGGACGCCACACCTGAGGAGAGCCACACGTGAGCAGGAGCTGTGGAGCGGGGAATTAAAGGACCAGATTAGGTTATTTTATGATTTATATATAATGTTGTTTCCTCATCACAAACACACGTGGAGGTGTGTTTTGTAATTTCAGACCTAGAACTGCCAATCTCCTCTTGTATTTGTGTTTATTAAGGGGACAATGCATATTAAAAGACAACATAATACAGAAGAAAAAAAAAAACTTGTACTTGTAAATATTCAGGATTGTAGCCAAAGGTCATTACCATCTTTACCCCTGCTGGACCAAGACCAGCCACATCAAACACATCATTCATAAAACATGACAAATGATACAATAAGAGCTCCCAAGGCATCTCTCACGATGGATGTAACAATAACCCAAATACTGTGAAATTGTGATCGTCAAAGGTCTCTCAGTAATATCATGGACCATCACAATGCATTGAGTTTCTCCGCTTAAATGATTAGTTCTGGTGCAGCAATATGTAAAAAAGACAGCAGGAACTACATAGACCATGATCCTTTGCTCCGTTTCAGTGCAGACTACAGGAAGAAATAACAGTTCTAACACTTTTAAATTTTAGTTCATTGGATTAAATCATGTCAATGGATTTAAAGAGGAAAAAGTAACATATTCACACTTTTATTGACCTAAACAAAATATCGCAGTAAATATCGTGAGATGTATATCGTGAAAATATCGTGCCAAGAGATTTGGATATCACTTAAATCTAATCATTAAAATAGAATGAAACTCGAGCACTCTCCTCTGCGTGCGGCTACAAGAGGATCATTTGAGACTTTGGCTGTGTCACTGCTGTGTGATGCTTTAAAACCTGATGGAAATTTCTCAAAGATGTTATTTCTCTTCATAAAATCTAAAATCTGTTTAGAAACAACTTTCTCTAAAACCTTTAATAAAAATGGAAGCTTTGAAATAGTCTAAAGTTGTTCAAATCAGAGGTGCTTAAATGAGGTTTGTTTAAAAGCAGCTGGAGCACAGTATGTTTTAAATGGAATGGGACAAGACCTTCTGATCGAGACAACAGATAAAATACTGAGTCCAACCACATTAAAAATGTCTTTGAGGAATTTGGTGGGTATGACATCCAGACGGTACGTGGTGGCTTTCATGTGAGATAAAAAATTGAGAAGGTAAGGAAGGGATAAAAGAATAAAATGAGTAAGACAATTAAATTCCAGAGCTTCTCTATTTACATAAACAGCTTGGTCCGGGGCAGATATTTGGTTTCTAATGTCAGAAACTTTATTAATAAAATGCTTTAAAAACTGTTGACACAGTTCAGTGGATACATCATTAAAAAGACGGGGTTTAGGATTGGACATTGAGTCTTATACCTGAAATGAAACTCTTGGATTTGACTTGTTTTTACTAATGGTGTTGAATAAAATAAAAGTAAAAGGAGCTGTTAACTTAAAAACTATAACATCAGGAGCCAGGCTGGCCCC